TGTAAATATCCTATCTGTCCCATAGTATAAATCCAACTTAATGAGCCCGAGTCGTCGGACTAAAGTCATCACTATATCTCATAGGTATTTAATTTTTTTTTATTAATATGATTTTAGTTGTATTCGAAACGATGTGTCATTGTGAAATGTCGATCTCCCTCTTGTGACGACTGGGCTGGGCGGGATACTTGGCGGTTTATTATCTTATTCTCGAGATTTTAATATTTTTTCTTTATAATGTATTGTTGTATTGTAGATTAGTGAACAGCTGCGCTTTAAATAAAGACACTTAGAATCTAAACTTCGATATCTCCATCATTTCCATTTTCTATTCTTCCTCTAAGGTTGTTCATAAATCTAGTTTAACTAAGTAATTTCGAAAGTTCAGTCTCAAATATTAATTATATCGTAAATCAAGCTATAATTCTGTCTACCTCAAAAATTCGAATTTGTCTATAGTTATATTTCTGATTAATTTCCACCCAGCCCATGTTTTTCGTTGTTGGCAACACCTCTATCGATTGTCTATGCTCTCGCCAATGTTACCTGTTGAAAGAATTGGCGCTTTACTAATAGCGATACTGTGATTTTCATTTCTTCCCTTTGGTTTGTGTGAATGGAAAATAATTGAAGTCAATTCGTCGAAAGAGGTCGAGAATTTTATATATTTAAAAGAAAAAAACTGTACTTAGTCTAATTGCGGTTTGATGATTTTAGATTTGTTTGTTGCTATATTTTTTTTTCTTAGCACAATCATTATTTTTTATGCTTCGAACACCGCCAATTTGGTACGATTTTTTAATCGAATTTTGATTTTATTCGATATTTTAATATTAAGCTAATTATGCCAACATTAGTCATTGTCATTTATCTTAATTTACTTGTTAAATTTTAAGTAAAATATTGTATTTGTTATGATTCAATACAAAACTGCAATGGGGGGCATTATTTGACAATATTTTGGTAACAGGAAACAAGTTCATATTATGTCTACGAAACGAGATAATTTATAAAGACCATAAAGAAGAATATCCGCCATTTTAATAATATTTGACGTTTATCAAGAACAAATGATTATATTTAAATAATATTTGAACACCTTTTCTGTCAGTTAATTTGGTTGATATTAAAAATACGAAATGGTCTTTGTAATTATCACAATTATTATTATAATGGTTACTCACACAATCTGTTTGCAAAACGAGATAGCGCTATACATTACGTATAGTTGCAGCTCACTCTAACATGTTTTTGTACATCGACAATTCACTACAAAACCGACCATAATACCATATAAATAAAGTATATTTTTTCACGAAGGTTGTGTTGTGGCGGTGTTTACAAGCTATATGTTTAGTTGGCAGAACGCTTCACCAAATACAATAGCATTTTGTTCGGACGCCCAAACTATTGGTCATTTGAAAAATTGTCATTCAAATTTGGACCCTATAAAAGACTTGGTACATCACAAATTTTATTGAAATAATAATAGTAATCATAGATACAAAAGTATATTAGTTAGAGTAATTAATAATAGTTTAAACAAAGCAATTTTAGTTGTAATTCAATGCATAGTTATTTGTATAAATATGGGAGAAGTATTTGATGTAATTTTTCAAATAGCCAGTTTGGCGACGATACAAGCTGATCCTGCCAGATGTTGGTGTTATAGCAAGTTTTGTGATGTTCTTTTTGTTTAAATATATTTATAAAACCGAATTATTTAATGTTATTATTATATTGGAATTAATATTATCGATATTATAATGTACACTCGTGCGCTTCCCTTGTTTAAAATGTTATCGAGTCAGTCGACTTAGATATGTATGTTTCTCAATAATTATACTTAATAAGACTTAAAGTTTTGTATCTGCATGAATGGGTTTATATGGCTGACTACCGCGGTGAAACATTTATTTTATAACATGACATTACGTTGCTACTTTCCGTTGGTGTTAGCGAACATATCAGTGAGCTTGCGCGCGAACCAAAAAGAACATTTCAAAAAGTATCTTAATGCAGATCTCTTCTGGCCCTTGTACACAATGGCTCGTGTTACTTACCCAACCATTTACTCAGTAAACGTGTTCATTCATTCTCTCCATGCATGAGGCAGTCAGCGCGCGCCATTGTGTACAAGCGCCCCCAATGTTTGACACATTGCGAACTGTAAGTGTTGCAATCTTATTCATAAGTCCTTAGGCTATAATAATATAGAGTTTAAAAACAAACACGAAAAAAATATAATTAATGATAGACATTTATCGTATCTTTGAAAACTCAGCCATAATAATATATTATATTTTTGGTAATAAGAAAGTAACAAGTTAAAAATTTCTTAGTTGTACTTCAAGGAAAGTTGGGTTGACCGGATTTTGTCTGAAAATTTTTATTGTCCACCCAGCTTTGTCGGTATGAATATACAGTTAGAATAAAGTCGCTGTGGTGTCGATGTGTAGCTTATAATACTTACGAAGAGGATAGCGAGGGCTTTTAAAATAACCACAGGTTCTACTCAAATAGTATCAGGAACAGCAGTAACTAAACGTAAAAAGTAAATGGCAACATTTTGAAATAATGGATGGCGAATTTAAAAGCCCTCGTTAGCAATAACAATGGTGACGTGAAACAGGATTATCAATAAATATGAACTTTTATTTTTTCTAATAATTGACAATATGGCGTCGAATCACGTCACAATTGTTCGGTTTATGGATATAATTATAATCGAGGTTGAATATATTACCAAAATATGACGGGCAATCCGCCCGCGGCACGGAATCATTTATACATGTAACAGAATAAAAGTTTATAATATTATATTTTTATTTCATTACATGTAATAAACTTACGTTATTTTTAAACTATATCTGTCTTTTATTGTATCATCCTTTAGATATTGGTTTTACGATAGCATTTTAATAATACCCTTCCATCACAAGGGTTAGTTACCCTCCACCCACTACGTTAATATGAACCGAAGTTTTAAAATAAAAATATTGGAAAAAAAATATTTTACTTACGTATTCACTAAAAATGATAAAAAGTAGGTAGGAATCAATATTGAAAGAAACTTAACAAACGGAGTAACAGAGCAAGAGCCCGTGAACCCCAGACCTTCGTTATTTTATAAAAGCTGAACATTTGTCAGCGCATGCTCCCAACACATGTAACAACGATAGACCATTATGAAGTTCGAGTTATAGTGGCTTTATATGTTAAACGTCACTAAAGATGTGTAAAATGCAGACCCTAATACATCAGATATTAAAAAATGATTTTTTGGTATTGCCTTTAGAGTATCATTAAAAATCACGTTATTCATTGCCAGACACTCAACATTGCGGCAACCCCTTGCCAGAGACCCTGAATGTTCATGAAATTACAATTTTACTTACCTTATAGCATAAAAGCTATTTTTTATAAATAATGTTTGGGTAATAGGTAGACGATGTTTCCTCATTAGCCAGAAACTTTTGATATACTTGAGACAGCCAGCTGCCTGGGAAGGCTGAGGTTCTGTTGATTGAGAAGCTAAAGGTAGTTGTAATACAGCTGGTGCAGCCAAATGCGATGAACTCGATGGATATATTAACGTCTCTAGAACATCTAACAGAACCTCAACATTTCCAGGTGGCTATGGTCATTGGTGAACTTGAAGAAGTAAGTGTAAATTAATGCTAATACAACCACTGAAGTAAGTGCTTAGTTCCTTTCAAAACAGTGTTGACATAAGTAAAACTATTTGTGTTCGTTACCCAGGCCAGATGGTGTGCGTTACCCAGGCCAGATGGTGTGCGTTACCCAGGCCAGATGGTGTGCGTTACCCAGGCCAGATGGTGTGCGTTACCCAGGCCAGATTGTGTGCGTTACCCAGGCCAGATGTTGTCGAAAATGTTCATTTGAATCTTATAGATAATTAGTTGTACGGCTTCTGTAATTGTTGTGCATATTTTTAAATTTGTTGCGCTTATAGTTTTTTAATTATTTCACAAAAACTTTTCCTGCTGGGGTAACGTTACCCCAGCCAAACCTTTTTCTTTCTAATGGGAATATTTAAATAATTACTATCTATAAAATTAGTTGTCTAGATGAAGTAAATGTTGTGCCTTGTTTTTTATTTGTTCTTTCATCGGTTGCGAAGTTATTCGAGATTTTGCTGGGGTAACGTTTTTCATTTTGCTAGATCTTTGAAATGGTTAAGCGGATTCTTGTCATATTTGGTACATAGCTTCTTATTAATGAGTTCAAATTTTTTGTGCAATAAAAAATCTAAATAATACATAGCTTAAAGGTTATTTCATTACTTAAATAGGAAAACACTTTAATTGGTCTCAGCACTCTCAATAAGAGCCTGTAACTGACTTCAAATGTATGTGAAATTTCATTAGTATTCTGTAAGTATTTAACAAGTTGTGATGATACTGAGTTCTTCACGAGCATGGTCTTAATGCGCGCGGTGTTATTTGGCCACTGGATTCAGGATTGGATATATGAACTGAATGATATGTCAATAATTAGTTTTTTAGTTCAGTTGTCTACAAGTACAATTTCAGGTTAGTACATTGGATAATGAACGGGGTGGTTTTTAGTCAGTAAGAGTCTGACACTCCCTCCCGCCTTACCCAGGCGGGAGCAGTCATTCGATGATTTTCCCCCCTTAAAAAACACCCGACCAAGTTTAGGTGGTTACAAAAAAGCGAAAACGCAGAACATTATGGTAGTACCTTCTAAAATATGTAAGATAGTGTTCTCAAATCGTACATGCTTGTCTGGTAAGGGGTTGGAACTATCAAAAGTGTCTGGTTAACGAAGAAACATCGTCTACCTATTACCCAAATATTATTTATAAAATCAGCTTTTATACTATAAAGTCAAGTAAAATTATCATTTCATGTTTCATGAACATTCAGGGTGTCTGAAGGGATCAAGATGAAACTTAGAACAGGGGTAGAACTAAGCCGGCTGGCAGAAGCTAGATGTAGAAATAAAACAACAAATTGATTTATTAACATAAGTAACTATATTAAAAATAAACATTTTAACAACAGGCGCTATGTACATTGTACAGTATGCCATAACCTATCTACACTCATACTGAAAGAGGATGTACATTTGCAACTGCCTCGAGACTTGATCACTCAGATCATTATAAATATTTGGTTTATTTATTCATATAGGAATTAGTTAATTTATGTAACATTGGATAGGATAGCCCCGATTAGCACAGTAGCTGGGAAGCATGGTAATAAGTTTCAGGATTAAGCTCTTCGTGTTAACAAATTATTGTTCCAGTTCTGTGCGATACGCATGTGTGTTATTACGCACCCATGATACTGGAGAATATCCTAGTTTAGGGTCACTAAATAACAATGGTATTACATTGTTCCACATCAACCACTATGTTTTATTATTTATTTAACATCTATATCCAAAACTGTTATAATAAAATGCATTTATCTGAACACAAACATGTAGTTTCTGCATATATAATCCAAAGACACTACTTGGTCCAATGTTACACAAAATTACTAAAACATATAATACATAGTTACACATATAAATACAATTGAAATTGACATATAGTTGCACATGTCCACCCTCTTATACCGCCGTAGCAGCGAATGGCAGCGAAAGACATCAAGCAAGTCTGAACCCCAATATAGATGGGGTTGTGTTATTTTGGTAGGGGGACGACGAAACGGGATACCCAGATAGTTTCTCACTCTAAGACATTTAAGGCAGTAAAACAATATATAAAATTTAGTCTTGTATTAAAATAATCCTATCCTATTAAAATAGCTATCTATATAAAATGTCGCAAATTAAACTGCGGATTGAGAATCAGAATAGGAAGTTAATTTAATACATATTCTTTTAGCAATCTTAGAGCGAGTTTTTATGTCATAAATGCGATTCTGGTGTTTACAAACAGTATAGCATAATAATAAAAGAAATAAAAATAAGGTATACATAAAATGTCCAAGAAAAAAGAATCAATACATAGTTTACATGGTGTCCGGGCTCATATCAATACATTCACACAACTTGTGATACATATCTATTAATTTATTTAGGAATCAGCTAACATATGCGACTAACCTACATTTTGGACTTCCATATTTTTATAAAATACACTTAGATAATAAATTACTTAAGTTTGTACATTTGTAGCAAAGAACAAGTGAAAATTATTAAATAACATTTCAAATACATTAAAATTGTTTCATTATTACAAGAATTTACTATTATTGAATATTAATTAAAATAAGTAAATGAGAAATGTTCAGAATTCGTCCCAAAACTATGAACATTGATATTTACTTGAATGGAAGTCCAATAACTAGGTTCCCTAACACCAACCAAGTAAATATTAGACTAAATTAATATTACATTTGACAAAATCAAGCTAGTGGTCACAATAATCGTGAAATTCTAAGACAAAGATATAATACACAGAAAATGGATGAACACATTCACATTAAATACATGATCTTTAGCCTTTACTATGTGCAACACATTTAGCTTATCTCGGTGGACATAAAGTTTTGAAAATGCAACATCGATACACTCTTTTAAAAGCTAATAATCTTTTCACATATTGATCGCAACACGCTTAGAATTCCAATTAAAACATAATTAAGTATTAACAATCCAGCAATTCAAGGTATTAAATAGCATAGCCACATTGAAATCCACATTTGAAAAACACACTTAAACACTCAAATGCCACACTATTTTAAGATACTCAGAAATGTTTCTGCCACTACAAATACTTTGTAACATTACAGAGATGGCTCAATATTCAAGTACAACTTAAAATTGAGTGGTATTTCAGTATTTCTGCAACAGATATTTAAAGTAGTAAAATACTAGTTTTGCACTACACTTGTATACATGTTCTCTTTCCACGTTTAGCGACAAAGATAAAATTTCACTCATAATAACTTATTCACTTCAAGAATGCTTTCTTCACTTTAAATCACATGGTCACTAGCTTGACTCGTCTCACAGTCATCCGAATCACTCATTAACCGATGATTAAACCACACCCAAATTTGAACTGTTGCTTGGCCTGGTTCGCCATACCCGACAGAGCAAATGTGAATGGAAGCGGCTGCAGCTTCTTCTCCAGAACTGCTCCGATGTTCCAATTTGAGTCTACCATTCCTGGAAAGAAAAGGTTTATTGGAAATGTTAAATAATGATAATTTTTTAAATAGTTCTTGAAGTTAATTAAGCATCCAAAAAGACTTTAGACCTTCAAGATAACTCCGTAAACCAGTCTATAACACAGTTCTATACTGACTTCAATTATGTCAGTTATTCATTTTTGGATTAAATTTTAATTGGTACAGATAAAAAAATATTTGTTTTATTACGTTTGTGGGCAGCTACCATTGTTCAATACTCGTAGTTGCAGTAGACATTACATTATTATAGGTATGTAAATACAAGTTTTCGACTGAGAGAAACTTTGTCCTGTAAATCTGTAGCTAATTCGCAAGTCCAATAGCAATTAAAGTTCACGAAACATAAGAAAGAACACAATGCTAGAGAGCACTTACCTCTGAAGATTAGATCTGCCTTGGGTATGTTGACCTGGTAGCCAATGGTACCGACTGATTCCATGCCTCTGAATGAGGTGTCCATTTCCGCAACAACCTTCAAATAATACAGATTGAGTATAAAAACTTGAATACTTATGTATGAACTGACTTTTAACAGCCAACCAGTACAAAACCTGGAAATCGTTAAAGACTTGGTGTGTGTTACCCAGGCCAGATGTTGTCAAAAATGGTCATTTGAATCTTAGTTGTACAGCTTCTGTAATTGTTGCGCACATTTTTAAACTGTCAAATACCAAGCGGTCACCGGTGACCGCAACCTATTGTTCTATAATTGTGTCTACAAAACCGGTACTCGACGAGTTAAATTTGTTGCACTTATAGTTTTTTAATTATTTCAATACTTACAGGATTCTAATGAAACTTCACATACATTTGAAGGCACTTACAAGCTTTAAAATTACGTTTAAAGTAAGTCTTAGGAGCTCTTATTGAGAGTGCTGGGTCCAATTGAAGTGTTTTTCTATCTAATGAAATAACCTTTAAGCTATGTATTGTGTTGGTTATATTATTGCACGACAAAACTAATTCCTATGAAGCGATGTGCAAAATATGATAAGGATCCACTTAACCATTTCAAAGATCTAGCAAAATCAAAAACGTTACCCCAGCAAAATCTCGAATAACTTCGCAACCGAAGAAAGAACAAATACAAAACAAGGCACAACATTTACTTCATCTAGACAACTAATTTAATAGATAGTAATTATTTAAATATTCCCATTAGAAAGAAAAAGGTCTGGCTGGGGTAACGTTACCCCAGCAGGAAATGTTTTAGTGAAATAATTAAAAAACTATAAGCGCAACAAATTTAAAAATGTGCGCAACAATTACAGAAGTCGCACAACTAATCTTTATATATACATATAATTCTGCTGTACGAGTGTATGTCATTGAACTCCTCCTAAACGGTTTGACCGATTTAAATGAATTTTTCCGTATGCGTTTGAGTGACGCCCTGGATGGTTTAGATTCACAAATCAGCCCCGCAGATGGCGCTGTAGTCAGTATCTAAGTTATTTATCTAAACCTATTATTATTTTTATATTATATGCAGGACAACGTCTGTCGGGTCCGCTAGTTATCTATAAGATTCAAATGACCATTTTCGACATCTGGTCTGGGTAACGCACACAAAGACTTGTCTTAAACTTTTAGAAAACTGTTTTTAACTATTCTTAGTTCTTACCTGTAATTGTTCACTGCACTGCTTGAAGTAGCACAAGTGGAAGTTAGCCGAGCTCAGGGTCGCTGATACTTCCGAGTCTGGAAACATCACATCAAAATTTTGAACAATTTCACATACAGTGATGTTAAAGGAGGCCCAATACCTCTCAAAAGACCACACGCACTCGTCTTCTCTGGTGTTGCGCGTGTCCATGGGCAGTGCCAATTGCTTACCATCAAAAATATAAATTTACAAGGCGTCTTACCGTCCATGGTATATCTGGCGGCGGCGGAGGTGATAGCGATCTCTCCGCCCATGACGCGGGCGCCCGACTGGTACACCAGCTCCGCGCCCAGCGCCAGCCGCTTTGTCACCGACTGGAAATAAAACATAGAGGTTGTGTTACACTATTTATTTTTATACAACCATTAGCTTCTGCCGTGGAATTCGTTCACGTCCCCGTTGTATAAAACGTGGCCTACGCGTTATTCCAGACTATAATCTAACCCTGTTCCAAGTTTCATCTCAATCCCTTTGACGCTGTGTGATGGTGACAAGAATAAAATACATTTGTCATCAATTCACAACTCTATACTTCTCACAGGTATCTTAAAAGCCGACTACAGGGCTGCTTATTTAAACTTTAAGCGGTCACCGGTGACCGCAACCTGTTGTTCTATAATTGTGTCTACAAAACCGGTACTCGACGAGTTAAAAGTGGTATGTAAATGTAACAGCACTCTCTGATAAACCGGAACCTTTTATACTGCAATCTCCAATACACACGTTGTATGTGGAGATACATAAGAGGCCTTTTTTTTTCAGGTGGGAAAATCATCGAATGACAGCTCCCGCCTGGGTGAGGCGGGAGAGAGTGTCAGACTCTTACTGACTAAAAACCACCCCGTTCCTTCTCCTGCACGTCGAGCCGGAGCCCCGGTTACCCGTTAGGTATAAGAGGAGGCCTAGATGATGTGAGTGATGAATCATTTACCTGTAAGTAGTGCCCGACGAACACAGCTGACTTCTCATTAAAGTCAGGTTTGCCCACAGCCATCGCGAGCGTGTAGTCGGAACCCTTGTACTCCAGGGTACCCTGGGTAGCTGTCAGCTTGCATTCTTGCACCTATAGAAATAAATTATCACTTTTTATAAACTGTTGCTCCGTAAAATTTTCTATTGTGGTGTATTAACTAACACAAGTAACTAATTAAATTTCACCAATAAAAAATTGTTTCGCGTAGGAATTGAACCCGCGATACGTTGCGCAGGAATCCGCCTAGCTACAGCGTTAACCATGCACTCATTTCTTATCCCTGACTTATAAAATACTGGCAAGGTACTTCTCAGATAAAAATCAGAGATTAGATAAACCAGTTTAACTCTAGTTTTACTGGCAGCAAGTTGACAAAGTTACAATTAACTGCTATGAATTGAAAATACAACCAATTTCATTGCAAACAGAGCATAATTACAATGCCAGTCAAGAGTCAATATAATTTACACTATGATTAAAAAGTTTACAGAAGGCTGCATATTGACAAACTAGCTACTTCCGCGCGGTGTCACTCGCTCTGCTCGGCGCCTATTAATCGTAGCTTGATATTTTATACCCTTATAGCTTTTCTCGATAAATGGGCTATCCAACACAGAAATAATTTTTCAAATCGGACCAATAGTTTCTGAGATTTAGCGCATTCAAACAAAAAAAGAAACTCTTCAGCTTTATAATATTAGTATAGATTATGATTCAGGAGCCTGGCTAATATTAGTGTGTTTAATATTTCTCTTTTGGACCATTAGGGGCTTACTTTTGAAACTAATCTCATTGTCAATTTCAATCCAATAAAGCTACAATAATTATTCAATGTCAACACTATACAACCCTAATCATAGCTGTTAAAATTGCATTAAGAGTATACATACTTTATACTCCAATATAAAGCCAGTTTATTCAATATCCACTTGATTGATGACAATTGGAGTCAGTAAGCAGTCTGGTGTATCAGTCATGATATAGTGACCATGACAAATTCAATCATTATAGTAATCAATGAAATAGTTTTACATACCTGAGCAGCACCCTTCAGCCTAATCTCCGGAGTAAGTTGGTGAATTAAGCTGAAGTTAACATTGCCTGAAGGATCAACGTCTCCAAGAATGACGGGGAAGGCCTCCGAGGGAGAGATCTGCTTGGTACCGATGTATGTTGCTCCTAGTTTGTAGCCATTCTGGGCTGAGCTCATTGTAAGGGTGTGAGACATCTGAAATAATATATATTTATATTTAGACTAAAACTTTTGTTGGATATACTAAATTATTATGTCATCGGCTGAAGAAAGTCGTGTTAGTTATACTATTTATAACTCTAGAACAGCTAAATCAATTTAGCCGAAAATTGGAACGGAGGTAGCATAGAACCAGGGGAAATATTAGTATCTCATAGTAGAATATCTTAGGCTTGCAATTATCTTTATAGTCAAGACAAACTGCTTATTTAACCTTTTGAATGCACCGATATGAGATACAATAGTAAATACATTGTCTGACATGACCCACGTCTTAGACACACGAAAGGTTAAGTAAGTATGTTTCAGAGTCAAAAATTTTATGGTAACATGTAACATACCTGGAAATGATTGGACAGTCCCCTGTTCACCATCAGCTTGCCACCTTCAAAATTGACGGGCATAACATCTGCAATACACATTTTAATATTTGATATTGGGCCTTATTATTATAAACATTAAATTGTCATTTGTTGTATACTGGTGTGCTTGTGAAATGAGACAACGTGATGGATGGAAGGACATGTAGACAGACATAGAATACTTTTTATTTAATGATGTGGGAATTGGATAAAACGAGATTGCGTGTACCAAGTCACAGGCAGAAGCAAGTAACTTCTATAATTAGGCATATTATCTGCATCTGGTTCTAAGGAAAGACAAAATACATCACTAGACTGCTTAATATTTTAAGATTAGGTTTCAATAGACAAAGAAATTAATTAATACATAAGTAACTACTAGTATGTAATTATGTAGATTATCATAATTATAGAACAAAATACTTTTTTTATCATACAATTAAAAAAAGAATTACAAGTTTTAAATTAAGCCAGTATGAGACTATTAACACGCTACATGTACAGTTACCCATTAAGCTAGTTTTCTAAGAAAATTACAGATTTGCACCAGATTTTTTGTTTTCAATTTTAATTAATGTCTAATTACTTCATTGTATTGCGGTACTTTGCTCTCATTTTATCACGCGAACTACCTAATAAATTCAAAACTCGGGCGGAGAACTGCAGAGGTTGATAACATTCTTATCAACATACAAATACAGTACCTAAAGATTAAATGTCAGTCCGCGCTTCACACTGTCAATCTGTGTGAATATTTTACATTATTTACCCATTTTGAACCAAGAAACACGATTATAAAGGTTTCTAAACTATAACTTCGTGTATATTGTAGTAAATTATCAATTATTACATCACAAGATAACCCAACTTTTATGTCGGCATTTAACTATAGTTGCCGCCGTTTTCTGAATGAACGATTAACCTTATTAGCGTTTTACGATTCTGATTAATATTTTAATCACTTTTAATATTCGCTAAAACAGTTAAAACGTGTGTAAAAAATACCTTTGGTCTTTTTATGAATTTCATCTAGCGTTCCGGGATTTTCACGTTTGTTCTCACTTTCAGCGGGATTCACATCGACATTTGTAAGTCCCGAGTTGTAAACACGATATCTACTGGATATAGCACCCATGTTATAGTTGAATTCGTAATACTTTTCCTAAATTCAACAGAAATCGATGAACATGTGCAATGAAACACAATTCTGTGGAATAAAAGACAATCGCAGTAGCGTGAAGTTGACAGCACGGAATACCAACATAATAGACTTTTACCAATGACAAAAGAATTCAATGGACCTGCAATGCCCACGATAGATTCGTACATAGCAAAACTTCACAGTATTTTGTCATGGCGGATTGAACTAGGGTCACTAGGGATGCCACTTTTCGAACCATAGATTAATGATTATTTCCTTTGTCTAAGTCTGAAACTATACAAACTAGTGCTACATATTTATTTGTTATAGGTTTTTAGATGTCCTCGTAAGACGTTGGGAAGACAATCGACTGTCGTAACAGTGTCTCACAAACTGACGCAGATGGGCCGGTACTTAGAAGCTGACTCTCTCTCCCACCTGTCCGCCGTTTGCCAGACGGTAATAAAACAGGCACTGAGTCTATGTGATTCTCAGTACATTTTACAACGAATTTCATTACTTAAAACGGGTACCGGAGAACAACAGATACAGCAGGCGTCAATGCATTCGACTTGCGAGCAGTTCGTGTAAGAAGCGACCGGCAGTTGCAGAACGGTCTTTAGCGTATTATTTACCGAATGTGAAAGAAGTAACGGAGACAGAATTGGACATCTGCTAAACCGAAAGCATTGCACCAAGACGATGACTAGGTGAGTCAGATGTACTCGTATATACATCAATGAGGCCGACACACTTTTAAACCATAACATTTTATTGATTACTAGCTATGTAGTTCCGTGGGGTTTCACCCTCTCTGATCGGCTCCTGTTGATCGTACCGTGATGTTTAGTTGTATGTTTGAACCGTAGATGTAAATAGGGCTAAAATTTAAGATCCATCTCGACGGTAAATTCATAAACATACTGTTGTTTCTTTTTTACTTATGTCTCTTTGCCTAAACAGAAAGAGAGCACGTCGTCCCATAAGCAACCTATTCACTCGGGCCTTGAAAAAGTCCTTAGTCGTGCCGAATTGGCCATCTTATGCTGGCTGCCGGCAATAATTCCCTAAATACTGCTGTGGCAGAATCGAAGGATATGTGTGTTTACATACTGCCCTTCCTCTCACTTTGCTTTCAAGTTCCGACAATGGCAGACGTTGAAATGTTTGCAGCGTCTGCGCTGTGTCTTTTAGAGATACATAATTATGTGCGTCAGTTAAAAATAAATCGAATGAAAAAAAAAAGAAAAGACGCCGTAGAAGATAGTGAATAATATCTATCTTTAACCACTCCGGGCGCCCGGCGTCAACCGGAGTGATATCACGGCCTCACAGAAAACTGTCGTTCTGTGTTTCGCCACGTTAGCGGGTTCTATTCCTTCCCTCCCCTATGCACGCAGTAACTACTAAATAGATTTCGCTAATATTTTGGTAATGTTTAGTAGCTAGATAAAAATCAAATCCGGGTGAATCGTAAAATAATGATATTTTATCTATAAGTCAATTAAAACAAATACCAAAATATCGTCTACTATTTCAAAAGTCACATCCCTAGTTCTATCCGCCATTACAGATTAAAAAGTGAAGTTTTGGTAGGCACGGTTGTTTCGTAGGCAAAGTTAAGTAAGTATAGAGGAATTCGTAGGTATTTCATATCTATCATACCTTTATCATATCAATGGTTTAAACGCGCTAATCTCAAGAACTACGGGTCCGATTTGAATAATTCCATTTGTGTTGGGGATAGTGCATTTATTGAGGAAGGCTATGAAACATCACAGTACAGTAAATAGTCGCCGAGTAGTACGGATGAAACCGAAAGTAGCTAGTAAGATATAAGAATAAAATAGAAATTACAGTATTAGATTAAGTTCTAGTTTAGTTTGGAAAAACTATGGAAATAATTAGATGATGGAATAAGTGGTTCTATCACTTTGTAAAATAAACTTAAGATTTTTAATACTTAAACAATTTTATTTCGTTTTATGGTATACATGTACAGTGAACAATAAATCAGTAGACTCTAGGCACAGGAGGAATCCACTGGACTTCGTCATTAATAGGCTTGTCAATAACAGGTCTATACGTTATATTTACTTCGCCTGTGCATAAGTCTATCGTTGACAAAGAATGTTTCCTCCAATGGTTCTCGAATGACTTCATACTCTGGCCCTCTGTTGGTTTACTGTAATCAAATTCATCTATTCGATCAGGACAATCCTCTCTAAAGTGCGATCCTCTGCTCTCCGTCCTGTTTTTAGCACAAGCCACCACCTGCACCGCACACTGCAGCATGTTTTGTAACTCCAGGGTTTCAATCAGATCTGTATTCCAGTTGGTATTTTTATCAACCACTTTGATTACTTCGAAAGCCTTGTACCATTTTTGAATTTCCTTATCAGCTTCACACAACAGTTTGGAATCTCTAAACACTCCACATTTGCCTTGCATAGTCTGTCTCATTGCTGCCCTCAGTTCATGAGGTGGAGCGCAACCGTTCGCGTTCCTCACTGTCTCAAGTCTTGCCAGAGAATAGTCACACACATTATCTTTCAAGCACATTTGTTTGTCACCTGGTTTAAAGTTTTGCGATATGGTGTATGCGACTGATTTCCCGAATACTACAACGTCGAGAATGGAATTACCACCCAGTCTGTTAGCTCCGTGAGCATTACTTACCACCTCACCAGCAGCAAACAGTCCTGGAATTGCACAATCTCGACCCCCCTGGTGTATTATAACCTCTCCCTTGTAGTTGATCGGAATACCACCAATAGTGTAATGCACAGTGGGTAAAACGGGTACAGGTTGAGTAAACAAATCAACTCCTGTGAACGTGAACGCAGACTCTGAGATTCCGGGTAATTTTGCCTTTATCAGCTCCGGGGGAAGATGGTGGAGTTGGAGGTATACGTGATCTTTCTTAGGTCCAACTCCACGACCTTGACGGATCTCAGTGGCCATTGATCTGGATACCACATCACGACTAGCTAGATCCTTGGCTATCGGAGCATACTTTTCCATGAACCGTTTGCCTTCACTGTTCACTAAATATCCTCCTTCTCCACGAGAACCTTCAGTTATCAAGCAACCGGACCCGTACATGCCAGTTGGGTGAAACTGGATGAACTCCATGTCCTGAAGTGGGATTCCAAGTCTGGTAGCCATTGCTGTACCATCACCAGTACAGGCGTGGGCTGCAGTACATGAGAAGTACATCCTTGGGTAGCCACCAGTTGCTATTATTGTATTCTTTGCTTGAAAACTGTGAAGACTACCATTATCCATCTCCATTGCGAAACATCCAACTATCTCTCCCTCTTGTACAAGGAGATCCAACACAAAAAACTCATAGAATGGGTCAATATTCTTGTACTGCGTGCAGTATCCGTAAAGGGTGTGCATCAAAGCATGGCCAGTACGGTCGGCACAAGCACATGTCCTTTTGGCCACACTTTTACCAAAGTTTATAGTCCCGCCTCCAAAAGGTCTTTGGTATATCTTTCCTTCGGCTGTCCTTGAAAATGGCATGCCCATGTTCTCCAGCTCTATAACGCATGATTGAGCATTTCGCGTCAGAAAATGTATTGAATCTTGGTCACCAAGCCAATCTGAGCCTTTTACGGTATCATAAAAATGAAACTTCCAATCGTCTGGGTGCATACTTCCAAGAGCAGCGTTCATGCCTCCTTGTGCGGCGGAAGTGTGGGACCGCGTTGGAAAAAGCTTGGACACCAAAGCTACACTGAATTTGGCTTCAGCGAGACCAACAGCAACTCTGAGGCCTGCTCCTCCAGCTCCAATGACCACACAGTCGTGGCAGTGATGCTGGATTGTGTACGCAGCAGTACGATAAAATATTTTCGTTGGCACGTGATAACGTACAGCTTTTGAAGCCAAGCCAGATTTTCCTGCGAGAAGAATCATGATTTTGAATAAAATAAGTGTAAAAATATAATTCAACGTACAGAGTTATTTAAAATTGTTACAATATATTACAATAATATTATTAGAAGAAAAAAAGAAACTCTACACTGTTGTTTCGACTGTTATGTCAAGTTCTTGTGTCAAGTTACATATTTTTCTTTTTCGTAAGAAGACCTTTCGATTTCAATAAATATAATTTTGCCTTCATCTTAAAGACTCGCTTGTCGTCAATAAATCCTCAACGAAAATCTATTATAGCTATCCGCCACATGCTAAACTCTATGCCCATTCCATTTTTGTCTGTCCTTGGTTGTTGTCATTGTTATTGTTATTTGTCATAGTTGTCAAAGTCATCATGATATGTTTGTGTAAAGATCTTGTATTTATCGTGATTAAGTTAGATTTAATCTAAAGCCGATACAAATTAACAAACGCACATTGTTTAAAACTATTGACACTGGCAGAATAACTGCTTATAACAGAAGGAAAAGTGTAACATTTTACGAACGCACAATGCCGAAGGTTGTATCAAGAAGCATCGTGTGTTCAGATACGAAAGACCAGGAAGAATACAACGAGACAAAGCCATTACACATCTACTACTGTTTATGTGGACAGATGTCCTTGATCCTGGACTGTACCATCGACCGTCTACCTCTCCGGCCCACCGATGGTGCACGCGTAATTGATGGATCAAAACACGCTCACAAAATCACCGCAGATCCTGACGAGACAGTGTTCCTGAAGCGGGAAAAAGGTATAGAACGACAATACAGAATGAAATGTAAGAAATGTTCAATACCAATATACTATAAGAGCGAGCAGGACAGCAATATAGTGTTCATTATGGATGGAGCATTGGTACAGACTGCGGGTGAAGGTGGGGTCACAGATATATATAAACAGGTCGCTTTGACGCAGCCTAAGAAGATAATGGTTACAAAACATACGAAGAATATGGGCAAGTTTAGTTCTGTGACTGTTTCTACAATAGATGAGGAAGAAGATGAGATAGAAGCGCGAGAAGTAGCAGACAGTTACGCTAACAATGCTAGAATAATTGAAAAGCAGTTGGAAAGGAAAGGAATGAATAAGAGACAAGCTGAGACTCCTGCACAGACTTCAGAGAAACGAGTTAGAGGGACTTTGATTGAAAAATAAATTATAATTGTTGGTTTGTAATTGTTTATTTATTTTGATTAAAAAGAAATTGAATTCTACCTAACCTGTTTTGTAAGCGACTAATAAAATGTCTCATATTGACAAGGTATTGTGGTAATATGAAGTTAAGAAAAAAGGTTTGGCTTTTGTGGGTGGTTTATTACCTTATAGTAGAGTTAATGAGCAGAATTAAGACCTTAAGGCTTATGATATTAATTTGTTCTTTAGTTTAAGCCATGAGTTTAACCTGTTGACTGCCTGAGTTATGTTAAGATGACAAGCCAAAAAGTGCCTGGCACATCACTCACAAGTCGCGGAGAACCTAATGGGTAACCGGGGCTCCGGCTCGACGTGCAGGAGAAGGAACGGGGTGGGTTTTAGTCAGTAAGAGTCTGACACTCCCTCCCGCCTCACCCAGGCGGGAGCAGTCATTCGATGATTTTCCCCCCTCAAAAAAAATCATCAATCACAAAGTTTAGTGTGGCAGATTTAAAATTCATCATTAACAGCCTATAAATGCCCACTGCTGAGCACAGCCTCTTTTCATACGTAGAAGGTTCGAACATTAATCACCATCACCACGATTGCTGAATGCAGTTGGCAATTTTTTTTATGGCATAAGCCAGGAAACGAGCCGACAGGTCACCTGATGGTTAGCAATTGGCGCCGCCCATGGACACTCGAAACACCAAGGCGTTACAATTGCGTTACTGGCCTTTTGGGAATTAAAATAATAAGTATTGGTGCGGATGCAACGTCAGCGATTTTCATATAGTGGCTGTATGTAATTTGCCCATGACCAAAGAGCTTGCCAACTCAGTATGAGCTGGGCACATTAATTAAGTACCCAACACTGGTTTTGTATTGAAATACACCATCCTTATTTTGAAGTTATGTAAGTACCTACATTGTTTTTCAACTAGCTACTTTTCCCGCTGCTTCATTGGCCGAGTGGTCGCAAGTGCGACTGCCGGGCAAGAGGTCTCGGGTTCGATTCCCAGGTCGGGCAAAGTAATACTGGGTTTGTAAAAACCTCAGTAGTAGCACGGAGTCTGGAAATGTGCCCGGTATATGGCAATAGGCTCACCCCCTATTACATGGGACTCATAACATAAATAGTGAAAAGTGGGTGTTACATTGTACAATGGCACAATGTGCACCTCTGCCTACCCCTTCGGGGATAAAAGGCGTGATGTTATGTTATGTTATGCTACTTTTCCCCTTTAATATGTGTGTATAGGTATTCTGTTTGCAAAGTTCACATAATATATTTGTCTTTCCTAACTTAACATAACTGTTAATTCTGACCAGAAATTGAAAATATCTGTTGCATAAAATTCAACTTTATAAAACGTCGACACATTTGATAATTTGAAAATCAACAAAAAATATTTAAGTAATTTATTTTCCAGCCTATACTTTTGTTTTACGGAGCCGCGGAGAACCTACCGCGGAACCTACGCGGGTTACCGGGGCTCCGTCTCAAAGTGCAGGAGTAGGAACGGGATGGTTTTCAGTCAGTAAGAGCCTGAGACTCCCTTCCGCCTCACCCAGGCGGTAGAAGATATTCGATGATTTTCCCCCTTAAAAAAAAAATTGATTTGGATACACAAGTATTACCGGTACCTGATTATCCCAAGGCTAAGCTAGGCAAGGGGCGCCAGGTTCCAGATGCGAGTGCTCAGCTGACCATAGTGTGGCGACAGCGCCAAAAGCAATTGGGGAATGCTTATAAGGTGTTTGTCTAAGCCCTTTTCTTGATTTAATCCGCCTCTCTGAGTGTTACATACAATACTTCACTGAATGAATTTTTGTAACATGTTGGGAATTCCAACAATAAAAAAGAAACAGTAAATTCATAAAACATTTAACAACTTTCATTTTACCAGGTACTGGCTGGGCTACATACTGTCCACTTCATTAATCAAGTGAGGTTGGGCCGAAGATGCCACCCTGGGGTACGCCAATCTATGAAACTCTTCTGTTGCTCTATTTCAAGTTGTAAAATAGTACCAAAGTATTTATAAGTAAAAAAAACTTTATCTGCAAAATTCTGTTATAAACATTAGTTTAAGACTGCCTCGTTGGCCGAGTGGTGGCAAGTGCGACTGCTGGGCAAGGGGTCTCGGGTTTGATTTCCGGGTCAGGCAAAGTACTACTGGACTTTTTTTAATTCTCAGCAGTATAGCACGGAGTCTGGAATTGTACCCGGTATATGGCAATAGGCTCACCCCCTATTACATGGGACTCATAACATAAATAGTGAAAAGTGTGTGTTACATTGTACAGTGGTATAACGTGCACATTAAATAGAATAGAGGATAAAAGGCGTGATCATAAGTTATGTTATGTTTTATCAATGTGATGATAGTCAAACGCCTTTGAGGAGCAATGTCTTTGTTTTCAAATACAGTTTGAAAAAAAAACTACTAGATCGCGTTTCTCACATTTTTTTATTTATATGAAAACAATTTTACAATGTTCATTTTTAAACAATAAATATAGATAATTAATAATGTATCAATTTTAATATGGTTGACGGAATATATAACTTTTACACTTTCTTTATTTACAGAAGTATTTACAATCGAGATTCTTTACTGCTAGCGGTTTTTACGCTAGGAATATAAAAACGTACTTAAAATCATATTTCTCAGAGTAGGTACAGATTTGTTTAATTTTGTACATTATTTACAGATGAAATCACTAACGAATGAATATTTTAAAACTTTAGATATTTCCTCACATTGAGGAACTTACAACTTTCTGAAGTACGCCTCGCATATCTGCACTCATTCAAATGTAACTGCTAAAATAAGAGCAGCGTCTCAATACATATTACATTGCATGGAGTTCTACTTTATTTTCAATAAAAATCTTTAAAATTCTTCAATAAACTCTTATATAGACTATAGACTCAACAGAAAAGACAATAGGATAGGAATTACAAACGAGTAGGTATATAAAATGGCAGAAAATATAAAGGCAACTTTAAAATTTAAATTCAACGTCTAATAAGTTGGCACTGAAAGTTTAGAGGAAGCATAGATTAGGCTACTTTAACAACAAAGACAAGAAGAGCTTTTACTTAAACATAATAATATATAAATAAGCGTAGGTAAGTCTACACTATTACGTGAAACAAGACCATTTGTCTCAATATTTGCTGAGAAAAAAGTACCACGAAAGTAATTCATCGTAGGTGGTTCAGAAACTATTCTATTTAGATGACGAAGTTGATCTACATACATATTTATATACATTTAGAATTTCACGAACATCATTGTCTTACATTTGTGCGTTGCCTCTCCACCTAATCTTTGCTGTTGTAGCCTAAACGATAGGATGTGAAGGCGGGTGCGTGACGACGAATGTTGCAACTCTTATGAAAAAAAATAAACACTTCTTACGAAACATACAGTAAAAAATATTTTGATGATTTATTTGGATCTAATGGTGCCATTGTTATTGGACAAAATCACAATATTTGTGGTCAAACACGCGCCTTCAGAAGTTAAAAATCCTTCTGCGAAGAGGTTTTAACAGAATACAAAGTTGTTAAGATTGACCTTAATTCTAGAGGAATGTGGAGTGTGACGGTACATGGAGTTGCTGACGATAATATCTACACTACGTCGCTTCATAGAGTTTAAAAGGGCACTTACTAGGGAATATCTTATAGAGCTAAGATTTTTTTAACTTGCAACACCTTGTTCTTATGTCACATCACAATTTGAGTTTCTTTAAATAACCGTCTTTTTTAAACAAAATGAAATGACCAACGTAAGATGTAGTTTGTAATATTGTTATAAACTAACAATTAGTTCAAGATGTTGCAAATTCCGTTAAATTTAACTAGAATAATAAACTAAATAGATAATGTTTACCTAACTCCGCTGTCTAACTAATCAATAAGTCGAGACAATCGATTTTAGTAAATGCCTCTTCGCATTTACACGATTATTTTTAACTGTCTTTTATGAAATTAAAAGAGGTTTCAGTTCTATCGACTTTATAATGTTATTGGCAAAAATTGACTAAAAGCCACTAGGTATAAAAATCCTCATGAACTGCCTACTTCAGATAATTGAATTTGGACAAGAAAATCCACAATAAAGTCAGTAGAACCGTGACAAAGTTGGATGAAATTACACTAAATAAACACTCCGCGACATTATCACAAGTACACGCAGCTTTAGATAAAGCAAAGATGTCCGCTGTGGAAATTATTGCCCAAACGATAACGACTCCATCTTGTTGAACTAATGCAGCGAAGGACAAACTATGTTCCCATACTAAGCTCATACGTCGGAGTTTAGGATGTAAAACATAAATACCACGAACAACCCGAGAAGGACATGGGTGGAAATATCGTATATAAATCGATCCACCTATAAAATCTATTAAAACTTCAAAATAGTGCTTACTTTTACATTGTAAAGTTACTGAAAAGATGAAAATCAGACTCTCATCTTTAGTTTTTATCTTAGGCGACTGAGCCTAGAGTTTACGCTACAATTTGATTAGTGTCTAATCTAAAAGTGGTCATAGCTATTCAATATAGCTGAACTTATAAAAATCACTGTTTGTCACCTGTACGCGTCCCTGTCACTCAATGTCACCGGGGGCCATTAATTTTTATAAATTCAACTTTTGGGTAAACTACTGAAAATTGGATCCCCTACGTCGAGGGCTAGTTACACAATCAGTACATCAAAGTCTTCAAAAACGGTATTGTCTTGGATCTGGTGCTAGAACATAGGAAACCAAACAACGTAACGTCTAGACAATTTAAGTTACTCGAATATCGCTAAACAAGTAATTAGCTCCCCACTTAATACTGAACCGTAACAATTAAAGCGATCTCATTAAATTAAATAACACCAAATTTCATAATTCACCACAAAAGCTCTAGCGTTCAAGAGTTTCGAAAGCTTCGTTACTTTAAGAAATATTTAATTTTTAAAGTAGAGGAAGAATCGTCCGCGTTATCAAATATAAGTATATTCTTTACTTTCCAAAGTATAAAGCCCTTGTCTCATGCAAGTTTTATAAAATCCACATCATTATACCAATTTTATTAAAGTTACAATCGTTTACTATTTATCAAAACTTGCACAATACAATTAGCAATGCAAAGTAATCAATTCGAATACCTAAAAAGGATAAAACCATATATTGTAAATTACGTTTTCTATCTATTTTAGATAAGGAGAGTGTTTTCTCTCTCAAAGTCAAAATTTTACATTTTCTAATTTAAGAATTTAAAAGGGCCATTTCTGAAATATCGACAAAGTAAGTACCCAACACTTTGGAGTGGGTACAAATAAGTTCCGTGGCCCTGAAATTACGCTATACCTAAACAACTACAATCTCACTGTAACTGTGATACCACAGTAATAGAATTTAAAAAAGTACATCACGTACTCTAACTTTGTTCCACCTGTTAGAAAAATTGAGAAACAAACGAAGAATTTGAGCATAGATATCGTGACGCGTCAAATAACTCAGTCGGTTGCACTGAATTACTGTTCGCTATAATGAAATGATTAAAGTATGTAACGGAAACATTGTTTATATAATAAAATGTCGCTAAACCAGTACTGGTTTGCGTTTTCTTTTTTTCCTATGGTGTGTCTGACGAGTGTGGTCGCGCGCGCCGCACGGGCCGGTGGCGACCTGCGTGGGCGCGCGCTGGCTGGGGGCGGGTGCTATAACCGCTTGAACACCGGCGGCGGCATCGTCGCCGGCTGGTGGAACGGGTGGTACTGACGGGCAAGGATGTCGCCCTATAACCCAAATGTTACCCTATACATTCGTTATAAAATATGATAGCAAGTTCGCAGCTGAAAAGTGAATTAGTGAGCGTTAGTGAGACATCGATCGTGTCAACTTGTTAGATACTTACAACTTGGGGTTGTTGGCTTTGAGCTTGTTTTATGTTCTTCTCGTTGATCATCAGCTGATGCGCAGCTCTGTAAAGAATATATTGCTTTACAAAATATCACAGACGACTTAAAAACAGTTTTATCCTCATCATGGTCATCGTTATCTACCTGTCCATCTGCTCCTGTGTCATTTCTAGTGCCTCCTGCATCTCACGAGAAGTATTCCGCACGAACTCTGGGTCACAGTAGTCACCTAGACCTTGCTCGGTTAGAACCTGAAAGTAAAGCACATGCTACTGTCACTATTATCATTCCTCATCAATGGTTAAAGGCCGGCAACACATTTTTAACCTCTATAATGTTTCAAGTGTAGGTACATGAGCGGCGCCGATTGCTTACGATCAAGTGATCAGTCTACACTTTTGTCGCCCTTTATCATAAAAATAATTGTAAATTTAACTTACTCTTGTAACCAGGCTCTCTGCGGACCCCACCACGACAGGTGCCGAAGAGTTGTTTCCTCTCGGACTGCCGGGCAGCGACACCACCCCACGCCCAAAGCTATCTCCTCCTGCAACGGCATTCACCACCCTTCCATTACTTGCACGACATAATGGGGCATTTGCGGTAGCTTAAGAATCATTTTAACTTTGCAACTCTTCTAATTTCAGTGAACTTTATATTACAAAACAAAACATACCTCTTTGTAATCATGTTTTCAAAGTCTAAATCTAAACTATTGTTTTTCTAATTTTCCAAAAGCTTATAAGCTAGCCTATTATGATTCTTAAAGCGATGAATCTCAATTATTTGTCTATACATTAATTCTAAATCAATAGCGTCCTCGTGGATTTTTATGATTGTTCAAATTTTCGTGCAAATCATACAAAACAAAAACTGTTCTTCAAAATCTTCTAAAAGCTTTTTCTAAATCCTCAATCACTATAAAATGCACTATTTAGCCCTTCAATGTTAGTTACATGCTAGTTACGATGATAGTATTTAACCGGTGTCGACCATAACATTATACAATACAGTTAAGTTATAATTTTACCTCATTTAGTATTATTCAGTGCAATATTTGTGTATTGTTATATTCGTGTGAAGTTGCAAAACATGAAATTATTGCTGAAGCAAAGTGTGAGTGTGTGTAAAATTCTTAGTTAATACCGTCAGGTTTCCGTTTGCCTGCAATGTACTCCTGTAAGCTTTGAAGGTTTTTGATGAGCGTTCATTATTCTACATTGTAGAAAGCTTCCTTCGTAAAACAATTTGGGACTTAAACTACTTAGAATTCATTGATTCTTACAGCTAAAATAAAAATTGCTATAGGACTAGAGTCTAAGAAATTAAACAATTTAGACCCTATATCTATAGTTATTTAATTGGAAATCAAAGTAGATAACTTTAAAGGAAAGGGACAAAATTGGAAGGAAGCTCCCTGTGGCGTGCGGACCTGGCGAGTGCGGGCGATCTACAAGCCGAGCGGGCGGCGCATGCGAGGCCGCCCCCGACGAGGCGCTGCGCACCATCCGACCTGCTCCGCACAGCGCCGGCTTGATGGCGCGCAGGCTGCGCCGCTCCCCGCCCCGGCTCACGCGCTCCTTGGCGTGCGAGAACGCGAACGGCAGCTTCGCGGCCGCATTGTACCCGTACAACGTCATAGTCCGCGACTCGGTCGTCGGCGTACACTCGCTCGCCAGCAGTGGCGATATCTTCGGCTGTATTTGCTCAAACGCGTTCGGAGATGGCGTTTTGTCCTCCATTGACGCCATCCTCGGTATTGACAGTTTCTCCCTTGAAGACGTCGAGTCTTCGGGGTGAACTTTTTGCCTTGAAACCGTGGCGGTCGGTTTCGCCGCAGTCAGGCCCTCGCTCGGCGTCGACAGATAGTTGACGCAGCCGAAGGCCAGCCCGATCTGGCCGAGCATCTCCGGGTAGTTGGACTTTTGATTGCTGTTAGTACGTACCGTATCCACACAGAAGCAGTGAAAGAAGATGGAAGCGTTAGACAGGTTATTGGAGCAAGAGTGCGGGTGATGCAAACGGTAATTTTAGAAAATCAACTACAAAACCACACATTTGACTACCTTGGTATATAGTGTTCTTTAGGTCATTTGTGGTTCTTCTGTAAGATAAGCGAAATGCTTTTTAAGATTCCGTCATGTATTAGGACAATTAAACTGATTTATTGAAATGAATGATGTAAATAATATGATCTTATTAGTCATTGTATGGGAACGTCACTCACTCTAGCACTTGATAAATTTTCTCCGACTCTCCGTTGAATATCAACGGCCTTAGTGGTATTTGTTCTTTTGGCTGTCCATTTGCTCTGAAATTATATCATTATTAAAAACACATCTACTTATTTTATTCATTAACAAAATTTAATCAACTTACAAGTTAGGTGTAAGAGGCAGTGGTCCAACTCCATACTCTCTTTGCATCATTGAACTCAAATGGTTACCGACACCAGCAGCGCCACCACCTCCTCCATCTAAAACATCATCAGATGCCTTCAACCCTCAACCCTCACAGCTCAGTGGCAGCTACGTAACACCGCATGCAATGATCCTTGCACACTTCAGTTTCCATAATCATTCAAACGTGGTATTTCTGAATATTATCAGATCGCGAATTGTACATAAAATAGTATACATATAATACAAATACATATACAATATACATTGAGCAGTAGCAGTTGGCAGTGACTTGAGAATGAACAGTGATAGTTAAATATCCAGAATGGTCTTTGCATAGCATTTGTTCTGCTGTGCAAAGGTTCCACACTGGAATCCATTCAGACTTCAGACATCAAAGATCCCAGACACAACTTCAAAAGACTAACTACAACATTATACAGAACATTCTCTCTAATTTCAATACTTTATTGATAAATCCTCTTTTCACGATCTTGGGTTTCGAACCCATATCGATAGTTTCAAATCCATCCATAGTATTTTCTTCATCTCTTTCATCGAAGTCTCCATCTAGTCCATGTTTATGTTAATTCCACACATCTTCTATGCTTTGTTCAACATAATTACCATATTCTGTTAGCAGTTGTTCGGCAGACGACGAATGAGTATAAATTGTTTGTTCATCTGCGTAGAGAAGACATGATACTGGTAACTCATGCATTTGTTATCCACACTCATACTTTTTGAAAGTAGCCGGGTCACTATTTATGTTTAGACACCTAAGGTTACTATTTGAGGTTACAATTGTTTGGATAAAAAGGATCATTTGAGCCATATTATTGGTCTCCATGAAACGATTCTGTGCTATCCTAAATTAGCCACCAGTGGCTCTAGTGTATTTTTATTTCTATGTGTTTTGTCTACTAATATATATTAATGTAAAATTATAGTTAAATCGAATTAAGCTGCGGTTATTAAGGTAATGAAAAGTATTTAAAACGTCACTAGCGCCATCTATGAAGAGCAAAAATATTCTCATCTTGTAAGAATCAATTTGCGATGTAACTTAAAGGACAAAAAGAAGGAACTATATTATTTTCGTGATATCGAAAAGTATGTATTTATTCAGTGCATAGTAATATGCCCAAATGGTGTCCAAACATAAATAGAGAGCAGCATTACTACAATAGCCAATTGTTGTGCGACATATTATGAATTTTGGATATGACTTAGAAATTTAACATTAGGCAAGTACCTACTTAAAGGCAACCAATTTTTTTTCTTAGTTTTATTTATTATTAAAGGGTAATACAAATGTCAACGTTATGTTGTGAATTGAGGGATTCAAAATTGGGTGCTTTTACTTTAGATGACATTAATAAATGATTAATAAGAAAATAAATTCTTTAACTTTGTGGAAAAAGTAGAAATCCAGCAGCTGTAGCCAAATGCCATTTAGCGCTTGTCTTCATGTAGAATAGAAAACCAAATTATATGGGATTATGGGATTGACGTAAATTTTGACACTTGTCAGTGTCATCCCCATACATTTAGTTTTTTACTCTCTCTGTATACAAGCGCTAAAGTGGCGTTTGGCTAAAGGCATGATATTGCTAAATTAACTAGTTATGTCTATTAAAAACATGGGTCTTAGAACAATGAATGTTATGTTATGTTATGTTTAGTTCCAGACTTTGTGCAAATAAGTATAAAGTATATTTTTTTTAAACCAGTATGTTCTTGTTTCATCAGTTAAGAAAGAGTTCGGAGGGCCGAGATCGAAACGGTACCATGTTTAGACCTCTGATTGGTTGATTTACTGGAGCAGGCCAATCAGAACGCTTAACGCGGTAACGCTTAGATGCCGTTAAATGTAAAACAAACTCGAACTAAGACCTCAGTTAGGTTAGGTTAGGTATTTCCTAAAATGTCTTTTAATTGTGTATCTTCTATATTTTATTTCTCTATCTATATGTATATATTTTTACCTGTGGGAGGCTCGCCATGCTTTCGATGTCTATGAAAGTGTCTGTTCGGTCCATGTCTTCGTATACTTGACCAGACACCTCCGAATAAGGAGTGGTTCCTCTGCGAAAGTTAGAAAAATACATGTATGAAGAGTTTCTACAACCAAGTACCTTAATGTTGTTGAATAATCGCTTTTGAGGTTACTTTTTGGTTGTGATGTTTTCAATCTAGGAATTCGTACTTATTCACTAGCTAGAAACTCAGAATTTGGTTAATTGTACGAGCCCAGATAACAATTTAAATTTGAATCTGACTCGTAATAAGTTTGATGTATCAAAAAAGAAGCTTTGTTTCTTTGCCATGACCAGTACCTAGGTATATAAACTTGAGACCCGTTTAAATCAAACTTTCTAGTATTCTACACGTTGTTCACCTTTATCCTTGCATTTCTTATCTAGTTTTGAAAGTGTACTTTATCTCAACCAGACTGAACCGAATACCATCGTCTATTAGAGAGAAGGTAATAATTATCATTTTTTTACGCTTTCACTAGAACAATTTGATAACCTAGTATAAATCTATGATTATTCATGAAGCTACTTACCCTATGCATAGGCACATCGCATTCCGCAGAAATATCATCCAGGTTCCCTGAGATCGCTCTCTTCAGTTCCGGGCCTGCCTCGTGCAAGGTCCTCAAACCCGCCTGCAGCGTCATCTGGTGGTGCGTCTGTTCATCACTCTGCCGCATTTCCTGCTCCTTTCTCTTTTTGAACCTTATGACGTACATAATAAACTTTAGAATCCTTTGTAGTATCGACAAACGGTTAGAAGTACTTACAGTATTATTTTCTTTGCTGTGCAACTATGCTAAGCGTTGAAGTGGCAATCGAAAATATCTTTCTAATAATTCAAAAAAGTTCTATTGTATATTAAAAATTATCTAATAAGAGTTGGCAATGGTTTTCTTCTACTATGTTCGTAAAAATCTGTTGAAAGTCTAAAAATATCCCAAAAAAGAGAAAACTTCATTTAGCTATAGCCTAAAAATGCTAAACGCGATAATGGAAAGTCTTTCAAAGAATGATTGCATTTATATTTTAAATAATTATTCATGTTTACTAATACTAAAAATTATATGTATAACATAAATATCACAAAACACAACATATAACAACGGGAAACGAAAATATTGGACAAAATAAAACAATATGGTAGTTGGATTGTAGAAAACATCGGCATGCTTCTGGATAGCATCAATTCGTAAATGTGTACAAAACGGCCTGTATAAAGCTAAGTCATAGACAATGTACTTGTAGGAGCGTCGTAGGGACATGCAGGGCAAAACGTTAAAACGGAAAGTTTCAACAAAATTCCAAGATGTCGTCAGGGCGTTACGCTGTCACAACTATAGTTGATTAGATCTATATCGCAAAGGGTCATGTCAGCATTTGTATGATAAAAAACACTAAAAAAGGGAACATTCTTTCCTACACATACGTATTTGTTGTTACTTACGCGTGATTCCTATGAAACAAAAATTAATTTGTCAGTGTTAACCGAACGAAAAAATTAAACGAAATAAAAAAAGAAAACACGAAATAATTCAAAATAAACTGCCAATGAGAACGTCAAGATTTTTGAATTTGAAATAGGAACACGTAACGTTTCATGTCACCTAATACTCTAAACGCCAATTATCATCCAGATCTGGGATAAAAAGGATATGAGACAAATAATTTTGAAAGATAATAATTTTGAAAAAATAAACACATCAATAATTTTGGAATCGGTTTTAGATTTATCGTTAGCTTTTCTAAATGAATTTCATGAGAAAAAACATTTACCAATCGATTCTTTCAATAAAAATAAAACCGATTTATTAAAAAATCAAATTCCATGGAATCTGATTAATGATTCATTCCAATGACGCTATAAAATCAATTTCTATAATATTTTTTTAACAATTTTGAAATTATCATCACCATCATCATCATCAGACACCATAAAATCAAAATAAAGATTAAAAAATTGAAAAAAAAAATCTATTACTAGAATTACTGACCTTCTGAAGTAATCTTGAATGAGGAAGGTCGCGTAGAACTTGCCAACAGTGATCTCGTTAGGGTCGCCAGGCGGTGGAACTACTTGGTCTAGTAATTTAGGAGATGTTCTCTTCCAAATCTTTTTGATGACAGCCCTGAGTTCTGTGTTGCAGTCGTCTATATTGCCTGTAAAATTGGGTTTTTTATACGTACACTTTGATTGCTGTTTTTTCTTTTTCATACATTGAAATATTACGTATGTTAAACTGGGGCCACCGTTTTTCAAACACCAGATGGCGCTCATTTAATAAGCGGTTTCGTTGTTCAATCATATCCTAATTCCTTATTGGACGAAAAGAAGATACTAAAAATACCGTTGCCCGATAGCATCAAATAGATTCCCTACTTTCACAGAGCTTAGAATAGAAATCACTAGAAATTTCATAGTTAATACTTTACCTGAATGGATTTCACACTTAGCCGTTGAAATGGATATTTGTAAGTCCATAATGAATGTATTTTAAGTCTTACCTTCAGTTTTGATCTTGAGCGATGTTCTAACGACGGCAAACAGCGTGGCGTTGAAGAGCACCGTGCCGTCCGAGTTTAGCGGCATGTTCATAGACACGAGGCGTTTGCATGCCACGCGGTGCGGACATAGCTTGCCAAAACCTATGAAAATTATTTATATCAATTAGATAAATCACTTTTTTCCAACTGTTTTACTTCTTGACAAAAAACTACACCGATGAATCTTCTACTATATAAAAATAAGTCGGGGTTTCCTTCTTGATGCTAAAACTGCAGAACGCACGAACCAATTTCCACGGTTTTGCATTCGTTGGAAAGGTCTCGGGCTCCGTGAGGTTTATAGCAAAGAAAATTCAGGAAAAATTTTTCTTCATCTTTGAATCACCGAACGAAATCTATATATACAAAAGATAGTCGTGTTAGTTACACTATTTATAACTCAAGAACGCCTCAATCGATTTAGATGAAAATTGGCAGGGCGGTAGCTTAGAACCAGGAGACGGACATAGGATACTTTTTATAGAATACTTTTTTTTACTTTTTACCGAAAATCACGAACGGGAACGGGGGCAAAATGGGATTGCGCGTACGAAGTCGCGGGCAGAAGCTAATGTTACATAAAACGATGCCATCTGGTGGCGAAACGAAGTTCGCCGGGTTTGCTAGTATACAAATAAAATTTTGATAAAATTGGAACCAAACGAGGAATCAAACGGGAAACCAAACGGTGAACCTAACAGTTTCGCGGAGCTAAAACGGCCATATACAATAATAACCTTTAACGCTAAGAAGCAAAATTCATAATTACAGTGAAGATTAAAATGAATAAGGAATTGTTAAAACAGGAATTAAAAAATGAAGATAAAAATGTACTCACCTAAAGGTGGACTAATTTTTCTTAATAAAGTAACTACATCTAAATGTTTAATTCTACCCTTGGCGTCAGGGTCATATTCACTCCATAACCTGAAAAGAACATTAAATGATCATATAAATAAAATACAGCGAGATGAAATAAAGCACAGTAGAAGAAGAATTTGAAAATAACGATAAGACTACTAATAGTACTGAGAAACAATCAGAAGAAGGTGCTTTGATTCACATGATGGAAAATGTATTGGTAAGACAGTGTTATAAAACGGAGTTACCTTATAAATTCATCTAAGTGGTGTGGTCCCAATATTGACCAGTCTCTGGTTAAATAGTCGAAATTATCCATAATGACAGCCACAAATAAATTGATGATCTGGAAACAAATCACAATTTGAGTCGTAGATTGTTCCTTGTTCTTTCGTCTTTTACATTAACATAGAGTATTAGATAAATGTGTTCTCTTAAATGAAATCAGCAATGCTATGACCAGCTAGATAACTTTCAAATTAACGTGAACTCGTTCGCGGTCCACCATGTCATTGGTTGTGAGAATGATCCCGACCAATGACGGTCGAGAATGTGATCGATATTTCGAATTGACATTTTACACAACAGCCTAACAGTTTCGAAATGAATAAAATTGAAAAATTGTGTTTCTGTGACCGTGGCCATCCATCACATACATTCCAAATTGTTTAATTAACGGGGTAACTTACCAAAAACGAACAAAGAACGTAAAAACTAATAAAGTATGGGAATGCGAGCACACTGCCACATGTTCCCCCGCTGTCCTCTATCTCCACATCTCCTTCTTCGTGATAGTTCTTATCGCACTTCACTTCTGGCTCCGGGGAGACGCCCATCATGATGTCTTGCCAGGCCTCACCTGGGAAACATCGAAATATCATTTTCTGTTTTTGTTTTTTTATTTTAGTAAGTTTTTTATTTTGTATAATGCGTCAAGTGTGTCTTTACATTGTTCTCATATATACGTACAATATTAGATTATGTATAAGAGACATTGTAAAACAGAGTTTTTTACTACCATATCTAAAGTAAAGCTTGATAAAATTAGGGCGGATCTTGACAGCCACTCATTGCCCAAAAGCTTCCAGAAGATCAAAAATTAAATTACAATCTAGGTATCAATAAGGCATAGAAGAGTTACATACCAGTTGCAGAACGAAACAACACAAGAAGTGCTTGCGGGAATGTCTGGAAGTGATTGTTCCTTGTGATCGGTGAGTCATCGTCTATCGCTATTTTTCCGAATACCTGCAAATACAGAGGAAAATTATCATCATTATCCGCAGCAGAAGATCTACCACGCCGATTTACAATCCTCATCGATTTACAAATATAGGTCTAGTCCAGATGATGCTAAATTGAAGCTGAGAATTATTCTTCTTCCTCACCTGCATCCCCACGACAGCATAAATGAAGAACAGCATGAGAATCAGCAGGGCAACGTAGGGCAGTGCTTGGAACGACTTGATGAAGGTCCAGAGAAGAGTCCTGATACCCTCACCCCTGGACAGAAGCTTCACCAGCCTCATGACACGGAAGAGACGGAAGAAGTTTATCGAGGGTATTGAACTTTCCTGCAATGTTATAGTTTTCGATCTTAGTATTTATTTCCATAGTCTTTGCCTACTCCCACGGGAGACAGGCATGAGGTTATGTACGTATATGTATGTATGATCTTAGTTTTTAGTGTAGTCAATAAGTGCAGTTTTTAAATGGTGACTTATTTTTTTTTTTTTCTGTAGGTACGCTATTTTCAATACCAACGACATTAGAATGACTGTTGATATAGAAAAGCACTTACTGATCCAGATCATCCAACCACTAAGTGACAAAATATTTGTGTCTTTATGTCCCTCCAATTTAAACTAACCAAGTTGATAAAGTTACAAAAGTGTGGCTTTTGAACCATTCATTATTAATTAATTGGTCAAAATGCATTGCTTTGTTCCTAGGTCCACAGCTCGGGCTGGTGACGACAAGTCTCTTGTCATTCAAAATGTGTGGTATGATTTTTCATTAAATGAGAATGATTATATCTGAAGCAAATGTTGACTTATTTTTAGCGCTTCATACTTACCTTACTTCGATTATGTAATTTATTTATTTATTTGGGATCATATCAAGTGATTGTATGGATGTGGTACTTATAATGTTTTGAATGTAACAAAAGAACTACGTATCCTCGTGATTATAATTTTCTAGTTTCTTGCTGGATTTCAAGCAGTTTTATTACAGCTTCTACTCTTTGCCTTTTGTTTGTTGAGTGCGTGTTGTGCACTTGTGCCGTGTCGTCCCTCCCTTCACCAGGAGAATTATTTAATAATACATCTTATATAGCGTTACTGTCCCAAAGTTTTTCATTGCACACATCTAAAGCACCATTATCATCGTTATTGGCTTTGTATCATACAATATTAAAAGCTGTTATTATCATTTTGTTATCTAAATCTAAATCAGTGCGGGTTTTCCATTGTGTTGTTGTTTGTTAGGTGTTTATTTTATTTACTGTTTTAGTAATCCTATTCTATTGATGTTGTAAACGTCTTTTGATCTTTTATTAAAAACCTTAAGTTTATTTAAAAGAGCTCATTTTACTATGTCTTTTATGGCTCATGATAGATATCAAAAGGCGTTTACAAATTTCAACGTTAAAACAATTAGCTTAAAGCGTATCTTACCTTAACAACGTGTGTCCTATGTATGCCACTTCCCTGAAATCAACACGAGCGTCTTCAATGGGTCCATCAGGTACATCGTAAGTGTGAGCATTAGCATCTGCTGTTATTACAACATCGATATAATTGTCCATGCTCGGGACAGTAACTATGATATCTGGGTTTTGGAATGACCAAGTTTTGACTAGCAGCAAGAGAGTTATAGCTTTTTTTTTTGTTTTCTGATCATGTTCAAGATATTCATATTCAGCTTGATTTGAAGGGGTTGATTCATTCATTTATGTATTGTTCTCAAGAATTAATCACCCGAAGATGATTTCATAGATTTTTTTACTACGAAAGACATTAAAAATTTCTAAGGAAAATAATGCTACTGAAATTTGGTCATTCCAAAATAGACATCATAAGTGAAAGTGTTGTTCTAAGAAGTGTATATCTAAGAGTGCTCCGTGCCGTTACCTGGTTCTTGAGTTCGTTTACTTGGGAGACAACGATGTCAATGATGCTGCCCAGGACGATGATGAAGTCGAACGTGTTCCAAGCGTCACCGAAGTAGTTCTAGATATATATTGTTGTGATTAGTATGATATAGATAAGAAGAAGAAGACGAAGAAGAAGAAGAACTTTGGAACCAGCATTTATCTTTACGACAATTTCTTTCCCAGACCCTATAAGGTAGGCAAGAAAGAAATCTTTAGACTTAAAAGCTAAAAAGGTCTGTGAAGACAAAAAATAACTTGCCTTAAATCTAAAAGCAGCAAGTTTGAAAATGAACTCCAAGGCAAAGACAGCGGTGAACAGCATGTTCAACAAGTCGAGAGCCTTGCTGTACTCATGGGGCTGGTTGTGGTACTTCATGGCGAGGGTGATGGTGTTGATCATGATCAGCACGAAGATGGCGTACTCAAACGGCTGTGACGTCACAAACCACCATACTTTGTACTGTATTCTGTGCTTTGGTATGTATCTGTGGAATAAAAGATGGGATCAATGAAAATTGTTCTATCTAGTAACTTTTAGGTTGAATCTCCGGGTGAGTCAAAGATTTAGGGATTTTCGATCTTTGAAATACTCAGAAATTACACGATGCTCGTGTCCAATGTGGACGCCAAAAATCACTTTATCTAAGTTGTTGAGGCAATGGAGTCTGTATTTTGTGCTCGTAAAGGACCTTCAGTTACAATTGCTTACTTTTCTACTATTGCTTAATGAATTAAAAAGTATCCTACAAATCTTCTACTCACCTTCTTATGGGTTTAGCTTTCAGCGCAAACTCTATGCAGTTTCTCTGGTTTTTATCTAATTCACAATTTTTGTATTCCTGCTCACCCTCGTTTTGGAACGTCACTATGACGAAACCGACGAATATATTTACCTGAAAGAATTTACAAATCAAATTATACGTTTATTGAGAAAATTGATATGTTTTTATAATAACAGCGACAGCGCACGCTGCTTATGAGGAAGAATCCTTCTGTGTTTCGAAACTAGTAGAGCTTATCTCAGTATTTTCTCGTGAGTAAAACGCAATTTTTAGTTAATTGTCTAAATCTCATTGCGTTAGAAATCTATTTATTTTAAATAAAAAAAGGATTCATATCGACAATCCAAGGAAGATGAAGAGAAATGATAATAGGATTGGTCATAGTCCAGCTTTAGTTCAAACTAGGACAAGACTGGCCGATTTGGAAGTCACTGGGGGAGACCTATGTTCAGCAGGAAGCGTCTTGTAGCTGATATGTTGATGACGGCATCTTATGAGACCATGTTACTAGTTGCACAAATCACACTCACCATAAAGAAGGCAATAATAATAATGTAAATAATATAATAGGCTGCAACAATTGGACGGAAGTTGGTTATGGGACCTCGATCTTCAGCATTCGAATCTATAGAGACGTACAACAACCTGGAACAAACAGTTTCAAATAACTGAATTATAATGGCTGGTCATTTTACTAGTTCTACTGCCGAGCGAGTGGTTTCAGGTTCAATTCCAGGGTGGGGCAATAGAATATTTCACCTCTTCGGTTTTCAAAAATCTCTCAGTAATCACAAGGAATCTGAAACTGCTCGGTGTATTTAAGGAAAATTTTTAATTATTTAGAATCAAAATAATAACATTTTTTCATGTCGAAACTGTACCCCATTATGTAACACCTATTGTACACATGATATACCTAATGCAATAAAAAATTGAATTTGAATTTGACAAGCCTCATGCATGAGACTTTAAGCATGACTATAGAAAGGAAAGGGCTTTACTCGTCTGTTAGGTTTAGCTATATTCAGTTTTTACTTGAATAAGTACTTATTGTCTGCAATTATGAGTGTAGAATAATGAGTCAAGTATAAGTCCTTACCCTGGCCATCCCTCAAATGTAGACACAGTGAATAGTGTGAGCATGCCCTTCATGACGTTATCAAAATGGAAGTCATACCGCGTCCACTCTCTGTCCCGCACCAAATAGTTGCGATTCTCAAACACTAAATACGTTCCTCTGAAAAATAATTCATATTTATAAAAAAAACCCTAGTTAATGTAAAGAACACTTAGCGCTTGTCTACGTGTAGTAATTAATTTTGACGCTTGTCAGTGTCATCCCCATACATTTAGTTTTCTACTCTCTCTGTAGACTGGCGCTAAAGTGGCGTTTGGCTAAAGGCACAGGTCTGCAAGGCGGCTCTAGGTTGATTCCTGATTGAGTATAATCGAGTGTTTCGATGCTGAGGGCTTAGTACGAGTTATACGTTTAACGAGGTCGCAACAAGACCGCGGTCGGTGGTCTGCTTTCTGGTTCATTGGCGGCCAATCAACAATGCAACTGACTAAAACTTAGGGATATTTATTTAGAACATAATTATCTTAGTGGGTTCTTTTAAGAATAAATGAACATCTAGTTTTGTATTTACTTTTCAAAATTACTCATAGGCCTATGAACTGGATGAGAGAATTAGAGATATATATATAGATAGAGAGATTAAGTTGAAATTACGTGTTCCATCGCATCATCGCTTACCACCAGGCGAGATAGTGGACAAACGCCGGACCATCGAATATAACTAAATATATATAAAAAAATGTACTTACTGACATTCATCCTTTGTCATTTTTGAAATATCATTACATCTAAAAAATTTGCCCTGAAACAAATACCTCAGCGATTAAATCAGGTACGAAAATAATAAAAAAAACTACATCAGTTGCATGCCACGACATCGAAACGATATGAGCACTAAATGGCTATTTATTTACTAAGTCAATGAACCCATTTCTCATGATAGAAGCATATAATATGTATGTACATTTTGCCCAATATTCATATACAAATGTCAATGTTATTGTAGAGATGGTAATCACATGATCTATATAATGACACCCTTATTGCTACAAGCTGTATAACTAACTAAAGACATGCGACATAGGTTACATAGTTAGGACATCTAAACATCATGCTGTTTAGATCTTCGAACTTAATTGCCTTGTGATATTATCTGTACAAATATAAATGTTCAATCAAAAAGTTTGTACGCGTTTAACTCGCGAACGGCTTCACTGAATCGGATATTTTTTTACAATAGTTAGGTTACTGTTAGGGCAGGGTTTTTTTAAGAAAAGTACAACTTTATTCGTTTCGAGGCAACAAAAATAATTTTAGATTTACATTTTACTTCCTTAAAGGCAAAATAAGTAAGAAGATCAACTCGAACTACCACCAAAACGTTCCAAGGCTCACCTTAAACAACTGTACACCGACCACAGCGAACATAAATTGTAATAAATACGTAACTAGCATTATATTTCCTATAGTCTTAATGGCTACTATCACACACTTGACCACGTACTGTTAGAGGAGTCAATGAGTTAGTTGTCGGGGCATACGTTACCAGGGGAGGGATCCGAGTCCATCACGCAGCCACGGGCACATAGGGGGACAAGCAAATTTCTGTTTAATCACATAGGACTTCGTACAAGGACCGTAGGGACGTACGCTAAGGTTAGACTTAACTCCTCACCAAGACGCCAAGGTAGGGGGAACGGTTATGACTTCTAACATGGGTAGAATTAGTCAACTAATGGTCTCACATCACATTCTACACCTTTGGGTTCATTAATAGTCTCATGCTTCTACTTGACGACATTGAATCTTTTCTCCATAATTTCTACTCCTATAAAGTACATGCTAATTTTATAATTCCGTCCTTAATGATTAGATTTTTATTTTATGAAAATAGGAACGAAAGTAAAGCATGTCACAACATAAATAATAAGGGTAAAATCGCAAAGCTTTCCAAGTATGTATTTTATGGAAGCTCACCTGAATTAGCTTACATAATAATTATTAGCACAATAGTTAGTTTAAGCTTAAAATGATACATAATAATGTGTAATAAGCTTTGTTTTTATATACGCTCATGAATACATAAGCTGTATATTACATAATAAAGTGTATATAAATTGTAATATTACATAATCACACGTGTAATTTGTTAATCTTCAGTGTGATTTTATCAATCAAATATAATAAGTGTAGAGATTACAATAATAAAATAACAAAAAAGATAATCATGAGAAATGAGCAAAAAAACAAAAAAAAAAGGAAAAGAAAAGTAAGGATGTGAAATTTAAAAATTGGTACCCAAAGGTGTATTAAAGATTTGAAGGTAATTATATTGGTGACAATTAAAATTATGAGAATGTGTATTCACTCGTGGTACAAGACTTGGATTCTGTAGGATAATGATCCTTAGAGTTTGTAGGACTTTGATCCTTAACTTACTATGATCCTTAATGCCCCCTACCTTGAACATTTGCACTCCCATAACGGCAAACATAAATTGCAGTAATGATGTTACCAATAATATGTTGCCGATAGTTTTGATGGCTACGATCACACATTGTACAACGTGCTACAATCACGGAAAAATCATATTTACTATCATAAATATTATGTAGTTGTCAAAATAATTAATGAAGTTAAAAATATGAGTTCCTGCTTTGTATTTTCTTAAGACGATGTCGTAATAGAACATGAATACGTGGTTTAAAAACTCAGCAGATGTTCTCTGACTTGAGAGTTGATTCGTCAAAAATGAGGCAGATTAGGCATGTTTGGGTTTCTTTATTTAAGTGTCAGTAGCAATAAGGCTTACGGCAATCTGATGGTAAGCGGATACCGTGGTTTTATGTTCAGCACTAGAGGAATCGCAAGTGTGTTGCCGACCACGTACAAAGATTATTGCCACTTTTTTAACTACATGTAACTTAAGAACGCATTCATGGTTTATTAAGTCATCGTCTTAGCAGAACTTTATTGTATCTGAGTTAATAATCATAATAATAGTTTTTCATATTTGTCTAAAATCTCTTATAATAAACTTTAATTAAAAAATTAATTAATAAATATTGCTACTGACCTTAAGGCCCTTGGCCCTGTTAATAGCCCTTAAGGGCCTCAGCACCCTAAACACTCGCAATATTTTCACCACCGATATACTACCCGACCTGGAATTTAGAGAAAACTAACTGTAGAATATTTGTTTTCTAAATCTAACGAAGCAAACCATAATAATTCTAATTTTAAGGCGTGTTTAAAAAATATTACAACTTAGGCTGCACTCCTCAACTCCCTAAGCGGGGGTCTTTTGAGAAATTTATTTTACGGCTTCTTTTAAACTGATCTATTCTGGATACCTACTCAAAGATGAGATGATGATCATTAGCAAAATATGTATATAAAGGCTATACTAAATATTTATAGTATAGAATGATGACGTACTTAAAGCTCATAGAGACAAGCGAGACGCAGACGACGAGCATATCAAGCACGTTGAAGGCGGACCGCAAGAAGGCACCCTCGTGGAGGAGCAGCCCGTACGTGACCAGCTTCAGGAACAGCTCCAGCGTGAAGATACCAGTGAAGAACACGTCGAATTGACTTAGCAACTGGAAATCAACACCGAACATGGAAATTAACTATTAATATTAAAATGTGCCATCAATATCTGTTCGCAACTTCTAAAAATATTGCGATATTCACGATCCAAATTCGGTGCAGTAACCGAAATTATTGTGAATTAATAGTCACTATGGGATTGAACCCGAAGCAACTCATAAAATGTTTAAAACTCACCCAATTTCGAAATCCTTTTTGTGCAGCATCCAAAGGATCTTCTGCTGCTAACATGGCAGAAGACAGCATGATGCAGACCAGAATGATGTTCCCAAATGTGGAAGATGATGACATCTTGTAGCAAAACACTCGGAACCTAGTATTGGAGACAATGTGTCAGTTGTTGATGATAAAAATATAAATGTAGGAGAAAACACACCAGAAAATAATCAAAAAGATAACAACATGAGTGATTTAAACTATGTCAATAAAAATATAGATATTTTATTCATATAAGTTTATCTCAAAACCGATTTAATGAATCTAACAGTAACAAATTGGGACTTAAAAGAAGTAGTTAGAACTTCAACTTTTAACTTTTAATTCTGATGTGTATTTCAAATACATATAATATAACACACAATATACACATATATTCTAGACACAGTGTTACAAAAATCAGTGATAGAAGCACATGCATTAAAATCACGCAAATAAATATAATACGGTACACACCATGCATGCATGCAACAAATTCATGTAACAAATATTTGAATTGTCAGCTTTGGCTTGGAGCATCCATGCCACAATCATGCATGGACACGTTCACATGCTCAATATTCAAACATGAATGCTACAAGCCAAAATTAGACTTCAAATCGTTGATAATGCTAAGGGATTTCAGGTCATGCTTTGAAACCTATCATCTAAACAAACATACCTAACTTCTAATGGGAAACACAGATCTCGGTACCCACTATACTCATTGCTGGAAGAAATAGTTTCATCTAATTTTGATTATTCCACACAATGGAGGTTATAATGTTCGTGCACCACGAGGGACATGAATGAACAATATGATGTTGGAAACGGTACTGTGGTAGAAACTAAAACGCATAGGACTAAAAATTTTGAAGAACATAAAATGAAAAGAAGTTTTCATCCACCAGAATATTTAGTAATCGTTTCAGGTGAACGTGAAATTAAATCGAAAATAGGTAAACTGAAGAATTTTTCTAAGGCCAAAACTATGAATCTAAATAAATAAATGAGTAGACTGAGGGAAGAGTCCTCTGGAGTAGGTTACGGATACACTACAAGGAGATACAGTTTCCAACAGACAAGGATAGTCACATTCGATGATATGTAATGCCAATCACTGCAAGGACAACACAACGCCAATCGACACAATGAGACATGGGTACCACCAGGTGATGAGACCATCACCATTCACCTGTTCGTCGGTGAGAATATGAAGAAACTACTAGCGTTGGGTATAGGCGGCGTCTGATTTGGCATATTCAGTTCTGACACTCGCCGTGGTCTGGCTGTTACCAGTGTTCCCTCTTCTTCAGATTGGCCGCCATCTTTGTGAAGGAAAATGACAGAATTTTCTACACTATCGTCTAGCACTAAAGTTAGTTTAATCCTATGGTTACCAATAGTCTTGCTATCGCTATTGACCATGCCGAAATCCCTGTACCTAGAATGCCTCAACTAAAATATCATGTAAATATTATAATGCTTAATTAAACGCAAACACAAGTGTGGAAATTAGCTAAATGTGTAGAAATGGTAAATAATAAATTAATTTTTAATAATAATTAATTAAGTTGAAAGAAGAGAAAGACGTAAGGCGTAAAGTAGAAAACCGATTTGTCTTTGATAGTGTCCTTTCTTAATTAAGTAATAATATTTTGTAATAATATTTTGGCAAAATAAAACTTGTGCTTATGACGCATAAAATATAAAGTACAAAATAGAATAATCAGCAAAACAATAAAGACTTCAAAGTAATGAAATCATGGTCTAATATCCTACACCTCATGAGACGTAACGTAAGTTTCGGTGTTCAGATCCTAAAGATGACGAATGAGGAACAAGGAACAGAAGAAATTGAATAATAATAAAGCATTCAGCGTCATGAGCACTTAGCAAATACCAAACGATCAAAGACAAATATATAAACAAAATACGTAAAAAATAACATCTAAAAAGTTTCTGTTAATCGTTGGTTCCCCCCCTAACCTGTTGGTCTTAGTAAATATGAAGAAGGAGGTGGCATCGGGTATGGGTTTCTTAGTGTCGCATATATCAACCTCGGAGAGGCGACGCGGCCGCGCCGACGAAGTCGTGGGCTTACGTTTCAGTCGAGGCTCTTCTTCCAACTCTGTGTTCACTGTTTTGGTTGGTTAGCTTATTGTATTATTGGTTGCACCACTTCTGGCGTCTTGTACAGCAATTTTATTATTTCCTCTACATAATTACAATAATTATTTGTACGTTAAATCCCAGTGTTGTCCCCATATTAGTATTACTTGTGCTGGTCTCTATATTAATTTGCTTTTAGTTAAACAAGAAGAAAAATATAATTATTTAGTTTCACTATTTCCCTTATGAACAGAAGTGTTTAGCCACATCCCCATAGTTTTTGTCAAGTTTACTGAATGCTTCTAACTGAACTCCTAAAACAATTATACCTATATGATTTCTTTGATGCCCTTCCATCATCTCCTGGTCTTCTCGCTCTTGTTCCTCTTCGGTTCTTTCATTCCCTTCGTTTTCTTCATCAATGATCTCCTCTATTTCTCCTTCCATCTCATCTTGTTGCTCTCCTTCTGACCCTGTTTCTTCGTATTCTCTTTCAGAGCTGAAAAATTGAATTAATTAGTGAAGCCGGTTATTAATTGTTTACTTATTTCTTTTGCTTTATCTGTTACACCACAGGTACTTGTGTACTTGTTGCTTTGAAGTTGAACATCGTAGTAGTATTTAAGTTAGCTATGAGTTTATCATCTATTGCAGTATTGTTTACTTACTTATCCGAAGTATACACGTCGTCATCATGAATGTACTCGTCATCAGTATCTATATGAACTCCTTCAGCCGCTACCACACTCCCACCTTCTTTCTCTTCTGGTGCCTGCTAATTATTGTCATTCAAATTTAAGTTAAAAATCAAAAGAGTTAAAGCTGAAACTGCTTTGATACTTACTGCCTCATCCTTTTCTATGTTGGTCAATGATTCTGCATCAGCTAAGTTGTCTACAGCGATGGCCAAGAACACATTTAGGAGGATGTCTGAACAAAGGGTAGTTTAGAAAAATATTGCTAATCCAAATTTGCATTATCATTAACGACTTTTCAGTGTGTGATAAAACACTATCTATCTTATTCGTGTTCGACGTTTTTAAAATTAAAATTCGGGCGCTGTTGCTATTAGCCTACTCAGTGACTTTGTTGAAATTTTAGTAATTTTGAAAAGGATACAGTTGCCACATATGAACAAAATGATGAAGTAAATGCAGGCGAGGATCCCGAGTGTGCCCACACCGCCATACGCTTTGATACCTTCATACATTACTGCGTTCCAATCTTCACCTGTTAAGATCTGGAAGCAACGTTTGTTAAAACGATTATGTAATAATACCAGTAAGTTTATGTTTTACTCAATCTAATTTTAAATTACATCTAGAATATCCTTGCTATCTTTAACATGTTTTGTTAATTAATTTTTTTGGCATCACACGTTTTTTAAGCATTCCAAGATAATGAAACTCTTGATTTCACTAATTATTTTTTATTTTCATAATTATTTACGTGGTTGTGAATTTTATCCGTGATGATCCCAAATGTGCAATTAAACATTTTCTCAGAACAAATGAAATAATTAAACTAAATGTATATGTGAAAGTCTATGTTTATAAGCGCACCCACGACGCAAGAGATCATCCTACTGTAAGGGAACGTTTAAAAAAATACCTGAAACACAGTCAGCAATGCCTGCCAGAAGCAATCAAAGTTGTGTCGATCCTTCTCCTCCACTGGATCGTAGTTGAACTTCCCTCCAAAAACCTGCATCCCCAACAGCGCGAAGATCATAATGAACAGAAATAGCAGTAACAGAAGAGACGCGATTGACTGAATGGAGTTCAGGAGTGACGCTACTAAGTTAGAGAGTGAGCGCCAGTATCTGAAAAAAGAAAGAAATCCTTAAGTGATAATCATGCTGATATAATGGCACGATTTTTTTAAATTATTTGAGCAATTACGCTAAATTTGAATGATGCATAGACTTCAGATTATTAGAAATGGTGTAAAACGCCTTAGCGGTGTGGATAAAATTAAAATCCCTTGCTTATCTATACTTCTAAAACTTCCACTAGTGAAATAAAAACTGTAATTATAACTTACTTGGTAACTTTGAAGACCCTGAGCAGCCTGACGCAGCGCAACACGGAGATGCCCAGAGGAGGCATGACTTCAGTCTTAGTGAGCACCATCTCGCTGATGGAGCCGATGACAACGAAGCAGTCGAAGCGGTTGAACAGAGAGACGAAATAACCCTGGAACATGTTAGGGGGCAACTTGACCGGGAGGCAGACAGTGATAATGAAGCCTGCTGGAAGAGAGACAGCAACGAAAGCGAGGTGGCAAGCACGGTTTAGTTGCAGTGGGTGTGAACATCGAGAGTTAGTACTTAATTTATCTCTTTTGTTTCTGTATTGTTCTTCTATTCTTTGAATAGGTAGAGTTTTTACTTACTGTAGTTTATACCCATCGAAGCGTAGTCTGTTGCAATATCGTATCAGAATCTTCATGCCATTATTGAGTTTACCAAAATTATTATTTCGAGAATTGAACTCGAATTGTCATGTTCAAAAAAGTTGGCTACATTGTAACTATCTTGAATAATTAAAAGAAGATAATAATAGACAGATAAATCATGATATAAAGATTACTTACTTGTAAACCTAAACTGTACATCTTGACCAACATTTCCAGCGTAAACAGAGCCACGAAGAAAGCGTTGCCGTACTCCTGGAAGAGGTCCAACCACTCTGGCTGTCTGGAATTAAGAAAAGTCGATAGTTGACTAAGATGAATCATTCCAATTTTAATTACCTTTATTGTGGCTATTTTCAATAACGAGTCTAAAAGTTTAGAAAGAAAGTTTGAAACCCTAAAAGGTACTTAGATAGTATACTTTATTTGTTTTGATACTCACTGATAGTGCTCGCTGGCCAGTACCACTGTGTTCAGAAACACCAGCACTATGATCAGCCAGTAAAAAGTTTGGGACTTCACAGCTTTTCTGCACGCGCGCTTCATTCGACGGTTCACCTGTAAATATAAAATATATGATTTTGAGTTCGATCATCTACTTAAACGCTTTTGCCGGTTATCTAAACAAATCATCAGCTTCTACGGTTTATCTCAAGCTTGAGAATAGAATATAGGCCTTATCATTAGATATTTCTCTGCAGCGTCGCAAGGAGTATGTGATTAAATTTAGTGGTACTGTTACTTACTTTGTCAAAGTCTTTCTTCCACGCTTTGCAAAAAGATACTTTCTGTTGTTCGTTCGTCTCTATGCCCAGATGGTCTGTCGAGTCGTGCTCGTTCTGCGTCTGACCTGAAATGTATTCTGAAACAAATTCATTCATTACAGTGAGATTTAATAATTTTACAGTTTTATCTTTCTTACAGTGTCTAGAATCATATTTATGCCTGTAATTATATTTATCTATTAAAATGTCCTTTGAGTTTTATGCCTTAGAAATAAACCCTCAAATAAACTTACTTTAACATTCATAACATCAATTTGTATCATTGTGACTATTAACTCAATATTTAACTTGAGCCGTGGTTTGTATTGCTTTCCAAAACAGAGTATTATTGTCTATTGTATCAGTCAATAATATTATAATATCTACGCCTGATATCTCACCTATCCCATAGTCCCTGGTTTGGTCTACAGGTGGATGGTGTTCATGCTGATCAGCCAGTGGTTCCAGGTACTCTGCCTGCGTGATCCAGTCGAGGTAGCCCTTCAGATCTTCCTCCAGCTGCTGTTTCTCTCGAAGCTTCTGGAAATCTCCTCTGTTTTTTGCTTTTTCTCTTTCTTTGGAGAACTCTCTGTAATGTTATCAATGGAATCAGTGAAGGGTTTCTTCTTAGTGGGATCTTGTGATTTTGGAAATAGCAGGGGTAGTGACAAATGTATTGTACTCGGCCGTAACTGTAACATCCTACGTACATGATTGTTTTATTATTTTGAAAAAGTGAATTGTTATTTAATACAAAATAGCTGATTATTTGTAATCATATAGTTTTTAACAATGGATTTAAGAATATTTGAGTTTTGGAGGTTAAAATTAATAAATACTTGTGTTGAAATACGTCTAGCTAACTTACCCAGACAACACACCGAGAATGAGGTTCATGACGAAGAATGCGCCCAAGATGACCATCGACACGAAGTAGATCCACTCCCAACTGTTGCCCATCGCATCTTGTATCTGAAAACATAGTGTTTACATAATTATAATGATGAATCACTTAAAATGTCAAGAGACTTAAACAATGAGTTAAAAACCTTGAAATGCGTTTGCAAAAGAATAGAAAATCTAAAGAGATCCTAGACAAAATGGTAACTGAAATCGTCTCCATTCATCTAGACGAAGTCAGCAAAGACTGATAGAGTAATGGTTTAAATGAAGTGCAAGCCATATACTACAAAAAACTACTAACGCTCCTAAACGGCTACTAAAAATATCGTCGTTTATTAAACGTTTCCAAATCTGTGAATGAGTACCTACCATCAAACAAAAATACTTTTTTTCATAATTCAGTGAAGACTCATAACCTCGATTACGCTTGATATTAAATGATGATAAAGTTTACGATGTAATAAAAAATCGCTTAAAGTTTTTTGCCATAAATAAGTATGGGAGCGATTCCTTAATGACTCTTATCTCTTAATGAATAAAGTTGAAAATAGCTTACATTATACATGACATCAGTCCATCCTTCGAGGGTGATGCATTGGAAGACAGTCAGCATAGAAAGGCCGAAGTTATCAAAGTTGGTGATGCCGAAGTTAGGGCCTATCCATCCTTCACGACACTCCATTTCTTCGCCGATCTGGGAGCAGTTGAAGCCATTGTCGACGTCGCATGGGTGAGGAGTGTCCATGATCTCATCTGTGGAAAGTGAAAATGTTAAAAGGTTTCGAAAGAATTTGGGCAATAACTTTTGAAATGTGTACAGTCGAATACCTCAACATAATTATTTCTCAATGTTTCTTAAACAAAAAAGAACATGAAAACTAGAATGTAAACGTAGTAAAATGTTTAGAAGCACTAAAGTATTTTACAAATGTTTCAACAGCTGTAATAAAAATAAAAACTAATGTAGATTTTACCTGTATATTTGTTGTAGCAGCTCTTATGCATCTTGCCAGAGAACAGCTCCAACCCAATGATGGCGTAGATGATGATGACGAAGATGACGAGTAACGCGATGTGGAGGAGCGGAACCATCGCTTTCAGGATGGAGTTCAACACGATCTGGAGACCTGGAGTCGGAACGCGGGTGATATAAGTGGCGTTTTTGTATTTTTATAAAAACTTTCCCCTGAAGTTCCGCGCCGGCATCTAACCTACATAGTATACCATACTGCACCTACCATACAACGACTGTACAATAGCTTATACGTTTAACAAAAAGTCTATCTTGTTTTTGCTGATATAACGCAATTTAAAAGCACCTAATCTTGTCTATAACGTTACTAATTAACCTAATTCATCATAACAAGATAATAACGCACGAAGCGCTTCGCATCAAGCATCCTTGTGCGTGTTGCTAAGGAGTGGAATTTTTTGCCAGAGTCTGTGTTTCTTGAAGGGTAAAACCTGGATGTCTGCAAAGTCCGAGTGAATAGGTTGCTTATGGGCTGACATGTTCCATCGTAAACCGTATCATCGCTTACCACGAGCAAAGATAGTGAGCAAACGTCGCTCGGCCCATAATCAAATATAAAAAAAAATTGAAGTTGTTATAAGGTTAGTCTTAGATTCATTCAATCCTCTTAAATCGATAGTAGTAGTATGTAAACGATACATAACTACTATTTATACTTTCTTCTCAATATGAAAATACAATGTGAAGTACCATCTATTGGAATCGAATTTAAATCATCCATCCATGACATACCTACCTAATGCGACATCAATGTTCCTAACCCGTATCTTTTCACATACTTCCTAAACCTTTCAAAGGGGTTATTGGGTGTATTTTATTAGAATATGGATAGGGGGTGATCTTATAAAAGGATTAATTAGTATCGACTCACTTGGCACGCCGGAGACGAGACGAAGCGGTCGGAGCACTCTGAACGCCCTCAGAGCTTTCACATCGAACGCGTCCTTGAATATACTCGATAACACTGTGCTGACCATTCTGGAAATATTGGAAAATATTATAAATATTCCACAATTTAAAGATATAAATGATTCAAAGATTCTAAAACTCGGACGTCCTGATCATAAAACTAACTGTATTCTCCGCTAGTATGGTTTATATTGCAATGAAAGCTGAAGGAATCCTTGCTGCTGTGTTAGTTATAGCTTCTCCAATTCCTATTGAGACCAAGGATGTGTTAAACGATGTTATGTCACTATCTTATAAATTATTGCTTTTGTCTTCGGTTTCTTGGTGCACTGTTCCTGAATGACAAATGGACCTTGATATTATTAAATAGTCTTTTGTTGAGTTGAAAATAATGCTCACAGATTTTGTATATAGTACACGCTGAGTAAGTTTCTTGTGAATTTGATTGTATTATTCTTTTGTATGCAGATTAATATAAAAAATGTCTTAATGGTTCATGAGATTTGACTGCTGAAATGTGGACTCCTTTACAAAAGAGAGTTTTGCCATAATCTACATACTTGACAAGCGGGTTGGAGATTGTAGTTACGTACAAGACCAGGTTAATCAAAGAACGTTGCATGAACGATACCCGCGAAAAGAGTCAGGGTGGTGAATAATATATTCTACTGAACTATCACCATACAGCGCAGCGTGGAAAATAAAAAGTAATCACTATTAACTACCACGTAACGAGATTGAAAGATTGAGTAGGAAAGGCCATAAAATCTATTAGGTACTAGTAAACTCGCAAAGCAATGTTCCCAGAATAATAGCCGGTGAAGCAATCATAGCGTTTGGTAATAATGGGAGCGAGTTCGTTATAGCCAACAATGAACAACTTGATGCAGTAGTAAATGCTAAAACGTTTGTTACAAATGTTAGAGTACATAGTGCTCTTGATAAGGTATTTGAAAATAGGTATAATTTGGCTGATATGGAATGTGATTCTGTTGCAAGTATAGAATTAGTGGGTTGTTGTTCTCCAGGAATGCAAGGATAGTACCTCGTGACGGTAGGCAATTGAGATCTAGGTAGTTTTGTGAGCCATAATTATGGTACATGGATGTCAGTGAAATTATTTTCCGTTCTTAGTTATGTGATTTAAGAGAAGTTTATGCTCATCAATACATATAATAAAATCGTAGGAAAGTAAAAACTATACACTGAATATTTCTTAAAAGAATGCTTGAGGCGTGATCTACAAGCGACACCGAAGCTAAAAATATGGTTTTTAGAATTTTTGTCTGTATGTATGTCTGGGCTAAAATCAAAAAGTACTACATGGATTTACTTTAAATTTTGCATGAATATTACTAATAGGTCGGGTCAACATATAGGCTACATATTAATACGCTATCACCTACCGGGGAGGAGTTGCGAATCACTATTCCACGCGGACGAAGTTGTGGGCACAGCTAGTCATACATACAGGGCTTAATTGATTTTATTTTGTTCTTGTTATTTCTTAGCAGTAAATACATCTTTGCACTGCTCCACTGGTTCAGTGGTTGTATATTTGTACAATAATCTTCAAATAAATAATGGATAATTATGCATACCTAACTGTGTATTGTATAAGAACATACTTTTAAGACTTACCCGATGACAACAATCGTGAAATCCAACAAGTTCCAGCCGTTTCTGAGATAGGAGCCAGGATGCATGATAAACCCATAAGCAATGATCTTCATGACGCACTCCCCCGTGAATATTACTAAGAACACGTATTCGATCTTTTCCTGTTAATCATATAAATACATTACTTTAGTGAATTCCAAAACTGGAAACGTAAATTCCTCATACACATATAAACAAATCTAAGTAGTACATCTAATTATCAGATCTTACAAATATTTATTGTAATGGAGAATCGAACCCACAGTATGAACCGTGTAGAAGCAGATAGGCCTGCTACCTCTATAGCTGCGGTATAACTTTATCTGAAGCGTATATCAGAAAGATTGAAAAGTATAATTGACAATTAATTTGCAAAAGTACTCCATTTATTATTAGTTCTACCAAAACTACTATTTCTAAACTCAGTAGAAGTAAATATAAAAATACTCACAAGAACCCAATTGGTGTAATTTGAATCGCTGGCCGGGTATGGTGTGTAGACAGCTAGGGCGATGCAGTTGGCGAAGATGGTTGTGAGAATCATGTACTCGAATGGTCTGAGAGTTTGAGTTGAGAAAACTATTCACAGAATAAATGGGATAATAATAATATAGATGGTGTACCTTAGGGCACATTACTAGGCCCTATTAGAAAGTGTCATAAATTCTATAATACAAATTAAAAGTTTAAATAATAATATCATAGTCGTCTATAAATCAAATGTGGCATGAAGCATGTTAGCAGTAAATAGAATTAACTGGTCAAGTACCGTCATTATAGACACAATTATAGAACAATAGGTTGCGGTCACCGGTGACCGGTTGGTGTTTGACAGTTTAAACTTAATTTTATAATACACTCTGATAGCCATATTGAGACTCGAATTTTTAGACTTACTATCGAAACAGAATGCAATCACTTGAATGAGATATCAATACTATTGTTTCTTAGGCAACTACATAGTTCAATTTCAGGCCAGTCGTAGTACAGATACGTTTCGTGCCAAGAATCATCTAAATAGCATATTTCGATGGATTGATTTATTTACATCGATTTACTGATACATTGAACATTGAACAATTTGTCGGGAAATGTGTTACTATTATTTTCTATGAATCTAATAGTTCGATATACATTCTAGATAATTTGTCTTCACTCACAATATTTATCGAAATCAGGGTTGATTTAAAATGCTCCTTAAAATTGGAAAGTAGAGATGGGACCTTGAGGTACTCCTCACTTTTAGGCAGCTATTGCAACAACTAGCTTCTGCTAGCGGCTTCGCCCGCTTTTCCGTAGGATATAAAGTGGCCTATGTATTATTCCAGATCATAAACTACCTCTGTTCAAAATTTTGTCCCGATCCCTTCGGCCGTTTTGACGTTATTGAGTAACAAACAAACTAAGCAATCAGCATCGCCCATGGACACCTAGAACACCAGAGGCGTTACAAATGGTTTCACGTCGGTTTTCTGTGAGGCCGCGATATCACTCCGGTCGAGTCGGTCCATTCGTGCCGAAGCATGGCTCTCCTACACTTAAACGGTCCATTCATGACGAAACATGGCACACTTAAACTTGGTTTAACTATAATATCAGTAAGATGCTATTGTTATAGAGGATGAAGAAATCTTTTATAAATAGATAGACATATCTAAATCTAAAAAACAAAATAACACTTTATCCTATCCGATCGTTTCTCAGGCTTCACTCTCAATAACTAGACCAAGTCATTTTACCTGTTCAATAATATCCAAAAATAGATGCAGGTAATGAAAATATTTCAAAATTTATTCAAGTGTAAGATGTTAATATAGCCGGGGTGTCGGGCCATCGTACCGTGGAAGGCTATATTAAAAAATATCTCGTTCCCATCGCAGAGACGCGATGAGACTTCCTAGAACATGATGATAATATCAATGATATTATTTTATTATGAGTTTGTAAGTGAATAATAATGAAACTGCCTCGTTGGCCGAGTGGTCGCTAGTGCGACTACCAGGCAAGGGGTCTCGGGTTCGATTCTCGGGCGGGGCAAAGTAGCTAGGATTTAAAAAATCAGTAGATGTATGGAGTTAGGAAATGGGCCCGGTATATGGCAATAGGTTCACCCCCTATTATATGGGACTCATAACTAAATAGTGAACAGTGGGTGTTACATTGTACATTAAGTGCCGTGATGTGCACTTCTGCCTACCCCTTCGGAGATAGAAGGCGTGATGTTATGTAGCTGTAGTAATACTTACATTGTTTATAAGAAGTTTATGGACGAGTATCGTGCTGTATATTGCTATAAACACAAGTGTCATGTTAGATTTCACTCTATCGTTAGATATCGCAACAAGAATTCCTGGATTCCATAGTAAGCTAAGAAAAAGTTTTGTTAACTTGGAAAAACAACGGTTTTTCAATACGGTAACAGCTTGCTATCAGTCGATCAACGAGGTAATTCATCTAGATCATTACACCGTAGGATTGGGTCAAAACAAATTGAAATTGTCTTAAAAATCATTTAAAAAGACAGCATTTATTTCAATTAAACTATAATTTGGTACTTTTGAAACGTCAACAAATAAAGAAATAAATAATAATCTGTCAGATTGTCCGTCAGGGACGCTAGGTATTCGTTCCAAAATCTAGATTCGAATGGAGAAGAAGGAGCAAGAAACTCCATTTATTACCAAAACCTTTAGACTATTTTGGTAGACTTGAACATTGAAAACAGAGTAATTAAGACATTGCAAAAATCAATGTAGCAGCAACTGTTCTCCCAGGTGGGACGAGGTCAGTTATTGCTCATAAATCTAACTGCAGCACAATTTTAATGGATTCCTTATCGCCATAGCACTGTGTTGTTTCAGTGCTCGTAAAAATATTCAAATCACCTTGAACCCTTTCAATGACTCAATCGTTTTTGCTATTTCCCAGAACATCTATAAAAAAACTATGACTGGCACGGTATTTGAACCCGGAGACCCTTGACAATGGCATACCGCGAAGTTGTCCCAATTTCCCACAAAATAGAAGTCATGTTTCTATTTTTTGTGTCACTCATTCATACATTCTTTGCATTAGCTGGATATGTGCCAATTTTTTTACCCATTACCGGCAATTGAGTTTTGCGTGGAACTATTTAGTTGCAGATATAAAGGTATTTTTGACTGTTCTTGGGTGGCCAGAGACTGGTCTATTAATGTTAGGTGTTCTGAAACATGAGGTTTAAGTTTTGCATCTGTGTTACTATGATTTGGAAGTGCAACTACGTATTTTATTTACTCGTGAACTTGCCAATGAATTCGCCTAAACGCGATGTTGAAAAACTATTTCTGGTAATGTTGATAAAATTAAACTTAATAAATCTTATTTTAAGTTTTCGATTGCTTATAAAATCATGAAATTGTGGAGATTCATTATACACGGCAGCACATTTTATCCCATAAGATAGATGGTACCTATCGTTCTATATGTATTGGATATGCTTTTCGCCAGTTCTTACATACGCTGCTCTTCTATCTTTTTTTATTTCATCACAAGGTGGAAAGTCCTCATGAAGCTCCTTCGCCCGGGGAAGATAAAATGGACTATCAGACTCTTACTGATTAAAAACCACACCGGTGTCCTTTAACATTATTTTATCTTCCTCAATAACCTGTTCATCATCTTTTCCTTTCTTTGAATCTTACTCTCGACTTTCTACCACGAGGAAACTAGGAAGTCACGACCCAGGAATAGATTTTACGAGTGTACCAACGTGTTGCTTCCGTCAGATATAATAGCTCACAAACGAACATACCTACATACAATTTATTTTTGTTTTGAAGTTTTGTGGGGTTAATAGTAATTTTTATGATCTTTGAGAATGTCTTTGATTTTACTTTTAGCTTTCAAACATATTTTTTTTAGAATTAATTTATTTTGAGAAACTTCTGTACTGTGGTAGAACGAGTTATGTCGTTTTAGTGGGCTTTGTTAGTGATGCGGTCTGTTCATGGATGGGTGACCGTACTTTAAATAGAACATTCAAAAGTTCGTGTAGGAGCATAATTGGCGTATTGTTGAGTAATGGGTCGTTTGAATTGATTAGCGATTGTTGCTGTTCATCTACAGTTATGAATTACATAGGTAATTAACCTTCTATTGTACATAAAATATTTTGTTCTTCCACAAACGTAGACTTTGAAGATAGTCGAGCGTACGGCGCGTCGCGTTCCGTGCGCGCTTCAAAGAGCCATCAGACCAGTACGGATGGGGCCCAATAGGGCTGATGCCGTTGCCGGGGCTCCGGCTCGAACGGCAAGCTTTAGTTAGTAAGAGTCTGAAACTCCTTCCCACCTCTCCCAGGCGGGAGTAGTCATTCGATGATTTTCCCCCCTTAAAAAAAAAGACTATGAAGATGTTAAAAATTGTGAACAATCCGAAAGTGTTACAATAGATGAACCCTTTTTTTTCAACTGGAAGCTTAGGACACCATGTCCTCTGTCGATCTACGCCACCATAACGGGACTTACCGCCGCTATAATGGCGTGCCCTACGGTAGATGAACCCTTTTTTAATACTATTTCAGTGAGACTTTAGTTTATTAGATTAGAAAATAATATTATAGCGTTATGTTAAAACTCACAATTTTAAACTACATACATATAACGATGTCTGTCGATGTGTTCGTGAGTTACGGCCGAAGATTTCCGTTCAAAATTGTGTTTTAGTTAGAAAAATATGTACAAGTGATATTTCACACTTTATATTGCGGTGTTAATCTTTTGATTTACATTCTGATGAGAAAATGAAATAGTTCTTTGGCTTTTTTATGTGAGAGCTGTTTGAATTATATTGGTGGTTTGAGAAATTAGATTCTTACTGGTCAATGATTGGAATAACGTTCATATTTGTAGGTACGTATACGTATTTTCATTTTGGTTGACGATGAGTTTAAATTAGAATGGTGGGCGAACACCATCCTATTAAATATATAAGAACGTTATTATGCAATGGATTTTGTTGCTTGTTCTTCTCCGTACGATTCTACACTTTGGAAAGAGCACCTAGGTACACTGAAGAACATACTGACACGGACTATTTATGTAGATTTATTCAAATGAAGCTTTGACCTGCTTTGCACAAGAGACACCTCCATCTACCTCTTCGCAAATTAAAAGCCGTGAAGTTATGTTAATTACATAAAACCATAAATATACGTAATGGAGACTAATATATTTCAGGTTATGATTTTAAATTATTTTGCCGCGACATAAAGTTGGCATGGAGCCAGAACCGTTCATCCGTGGATATCGATTTTAAATATATCGATCATGCGAATTATTTATACCTCAATATTATGATCAAGCGTAGTTTTCAAGGAATCATTTTATATTTTTGTAATATTTGCAAAGTTGTCATGTAAATATATACCAACAATATCAGCTTCTTACAGCGGGTTCTCCTGCGTTTTTGACACTTAAATTACCTTATGTAATTCAAACTATCTCTGTATGTACCAAGTTTCATCTAAATGAATCTATTCAGTAATTTTTTATAATAAAAACCATACCTACATTTTCTATGTAGTCGGATGTGGCTACTAAATATTAGTTCAATTGACGAGATATTTTTTTATACTGATGGTTATTGTAAATTGTGTTTTCCTCTGTAGATATATCATTAAACATCGTTATTGATTACAACCAATTTTAAAGATGGACCGAAGGTTATAGTGACGATACTAATGTTTATTGTTTTTAACATTACAATCAGAAAAATCAAACTTTTATTATACTTGTAACACCATAGACCTCGAGTGGTTTACCGATCTTGAGACTTAGGTAAATTAAAAAACTTGATAAATTTCAGTTTAGGCATTAGTAGAATAGGGTAGTTTCCTAATTTTTATTTTAATGTCCGTCTGGTAGATTATTTTAAAACATTAGACACGTATTTTTTCTTTTCTAATGTACCACGTTATGGCGTAACTACCTCCAACTCCTAAACTTAACGCCATTTTATTTAAGTATTGTAACTTTATACGAAAAATGAAAAAATATGTGTCCTATATTTTTTCATTATCTAACTGACGGACTAATTCGATTTTGAATTTTCTTTTTTTTTAATTGATGTAAATGCAAGATTTATGGAATGTCGTGGAATGTAGATATTTGTTCTGTTTATTGTATAAAGGATACTTCCACTCCACGATGTCGATGAATGTCTTTCTGACGGGGTTCTTCAAGGTGAGACAGAACAGTGCCCTCTTTGGCCTCTCCTGTTGGACCTTCGGACCTCTTCGGGGAGGCTTCCGGGGGGCGACTGGGACCTGCAGGTAAATAAAGACATCATTATTATTTTGTTTTTTTATGGAATAAGCCGGTAAACGATTAGACGGATCACCCAATGATAAGCAATCAGTGCCCCTCGTGGACACCCAGAACACCAGAGGCGTTACGATTGCGTTACCGGAATTTTGGGAATTAGGAATTTGAGGATTGTTGGTTATTCTAGGATCGGGGGAGATTGGGTAGGGATAGAATTGGGCTTCCAGTAACCTCACTTACACGACGAAACACAACGCAAGCTTTGTATTGAGTTTTTTCTCAAATGGCTGGACGAATGTCAATAAAGTGTATTAGTTATCAGAAGATTTCAATGTATACGCATTGCAATTGGATTTCGATAAAAAAAAACATAATAATTGTGAAGGGCTTGAAGTCATTTGTCACACTGCGCGCGTACACACCAACAACCTACAACTGTCCACTACAGTACTTTGCATCTCGTCTACATAAGAGGATTTGCTATAATCTTTATTCTTGGAAATCGGGTTGTAGATCACAGTTCAATAGTTTTATAGCCATTTTCTATAACCTATCTATAGATCTGTAGATTTGCTTACTGAGATAGAATTTTGACACATTTGTATGGAGCTTATGTCAAAATACTATCTCAGTAAGCGAATCTTGCAAAACGGGTTGCCGGGGCTCCGGCTCGAAGTGCAGGAGTAGGAACGGGGTGGTTTTCAGTCAGTAAGAGTCTGACACTCCCTCCCGCCTCACCCAGACGGAAGAAGCCATTCGATGATTTTCCCCTCTTGAAAAAGAACACAGAGCTGCTATCCAGTCTCTCTCGAATGTTTAGTTAGTCCTTTAGTACCACACCCACACCATTATGATTTTATTCTTAACTCTACCATCGTTACATGGCTTCAGAATAAACATTTACTATACGCAAGACTTCGACTAAATAACTCGATTTTTCAATTTCGTCCTTCGATACACCAAGGCAGAATATAGGTCAATGCATATTGACAGGGATCTGCCAGCCCCAATTTGGTGTCGGCGTGATCGAGGTAAATTCAATTTGTAGTACGTGGATGAAATGCAGCTGCCTGACTAATGTGATGGTGACCTGTCACGAACTACACGGTGTACGTTAAATGGTATTCATAGCCACCAAATATATCTACAATATGTCTCCACAAACGTATAAATATTCCAGGCCATCGTTGCCCTAAAAATAATGGTTGGGAAACAGACAGACAGACAAAAATTAAGTAAAATGTAGTGTTGATATATGTATCGTATATGTATATTCATATCATCAACAGCATGTTTTCGTCCACTGCTGGAGATTAGCCTCTCCAAATGCACGCCACTGATCTCGATCTTCAGGTCCACGCCTCTAACCACTACCAACCATCTATCGGATATCGTCATTCCACCTAGCTGGAGGGCGCCATACACTACGTTTGCCTAGACGCGGTCTCCTCTACAGACGTAGTCTGGTCTAACTCAACGGTCATCGGTTCTTTGTCAAATGTACCCGTCCTACTGCCAAATTTAGCTTGCTAATCCTTTGGGCTACATCAGTAACTTTAGTTCTCTGTCGGATCACCTCGTATATTCATATGCATTTAAAAACGGTTATTTCAATATTACAAACCAATTCAATCCAATCCAAGTCCAATTTTATTTATATGTATAGATGGATAGGTTTATAGATTTAGAGATTTCCTTTATGTAGGATACACATCAAACATTGGCCTGTTACATATGTAGGTACATATGTAGAATAGCTTAAGCTGCAGCGTTGACGACAAAACTTATCTGGAATCTGAAGCAGTTATGTGTTGTATCTCCACGGAGATTCAAACGATATTCGCTGATAGAGTAGCACTAGAAAGGCCGCTAGCGAAGTTTTCTAATGTATAGTTACTTGTACTGTAACTATACTATTGTAGAATAGCGGTCACAGTTATTGGGCAACTACATTATGTGCTAAACGGATTGACTACGTGACATGGTGCATAGTGCCTGTAGTCGATTCTCCAGGCGCTGCTGTAACTGTGCAGTTATAACTATCTATACTAGTTAATGTTTAGTCGGTGGTCGTATATGATATGCCAAATTTTTTATATGAAAGTGTGATCAGTTTCAAGACCTTAATCACTTTCCTCATCTTGAATTTATTATTATTTTAGACTAGCTTCTGCTTCCGGCTTCGCCCACATTCCCGTGGGATAAAATGTTCCCTATGTGTTTTTCCAGAACAAAATCCATCCCTGTTAGAAATTTCATCCCGATCTCATCAGTTTTTTGATGTGATTTTCTTTATGGGATAAACCTGTAAACGAGCAGACGGATCACCTGATGATAAGCAATTGCCGCCGCCCATGGACATCGGGAAACAGCAGAGGCGTTACAAGTGTATTATCGGCCTTTTGAGGATTAGGAACTTGAGGATTATTGGGGATTCAGAATTGGGGAGGCAGGTAATTGGGCCTCCGGTAACCTCAATCACACGACGAAACATAACGCAAGCGTGGTTTCACGTCGGTTTTCTGTGAGGCTGTGTTGTCACTCATTTATAATATTAGTAAGATAGTAAGAAAACCTGTAGAGTACCTGTATGAGTTGTCCTGTAGCATCGGCGGTGATGGCAGTGGGTGGTGGCGTTGTTGGCGTTGTCGCCGGCGCAGTGAGGGCCGGCGCCTCCGGCCCCCCGCCCTCTACCACGCTCATCTTGACCTGCAGAGAGACATTAACTTGTAAATATATTGAAAGAGGTATATTTTTGTGAAGGAAGATTTTTTTTAAGCATGTCAAGTTATTCTGAAGGTTTGTCTGTGCTGGTGGCTCTGAAGGTTTGTTCAATGCACCAGTTGTGAGCACTATCGATCAGCGTAACTTTTTAAAGTTTTACCAGTTGTCTTAACATACTTAAAAACCAATTCAAGATTGAAACTAAGACCTAATGTAATATAATATAACAAAACAAAGCGTCAGGCTTATTAATTTTTTATTTATTATATTGCTCTTCATAATATATATTACTAGCGACCCGCCCCGGCTTCGCACGGGTGCAATATGCATGTATTATACATACAAACCTTCCTTAAGAATCACTCTATCTATTAAAAAAAACCGCATCAAAATCCGTTGCGTAGTTTTAAAGATCTAAGCATACATACGGACATACAGCAAAAGCGACTTTGTTTTATACTATGTATTGATATCATATTATATATTTTTATTTTTTATATTTCATTACCTATAAGTATAACTTAATGGCGTAAGCTGTAGTGTTATATATCTAAATTTTCTAAATAAATAAAATAAATAAATCATATTATATATTAATAAAAATTATATTACTCTTCACCACGTTTGAATTTCAAGACAGAAAGAAGATCCACGTCAAATAATCAGAAAACGCGCACGTGTACGTGTTGTACCCGAAATTCACGTTAAATCTTTCATGACGTGATGGTGCTACGTGATAATTTACTCAGTATTACTTAACGTTGATAAGGACACTTGTCACGCTGTATACAGGCAGTATACGCGCTGTATCTGCGTAGTGTACGCACAGTATACGCTCCATATACGCGCTGTATCTCGGCTGTGTCAGTTACTCACGACAAAGTTATGTCGTGATCTTCTCTTACATTATCACGTAAGGGTGTGTTCATACTGACGAGAATATTTACTTATAATAAATCTTTAAGTTTTTGTGTTGGAACTTGTTGCTCTCTCAAGGAGTAGACAGGAGTCCAGGTATTAAAATTAAATGGACCCTGTTATTAAATTATTAATTTAAACTTCATTTACTTTTGAGTAAATGAAGTTTAAATTATTAATTTGATACAATATCTATCCAATGAATGGGCTGAATCTTTTCTACTTAACAGGGTCCAAATGTAACATTGATCTTCACCATATAGTTACTTAGGTTATGATCACCACGACATATGACTTAAGCTAAGTAATATACATGGGGGTAACATTTCATTCTCCGTACTATTACACTTGGGAGCAAACAAATGGAGCCACTAGCGTGGGTGGTAACATAACATAACATAACATCACGTTTTTTATCACCGAAGGGGTAGACAGAGGTGCACATTACGACACTTAATGCCACTGTACAATGTAACACAAAGCTTCCACTATTTATATTAGGAGTCCCATATAACAGGCACAATTCCAAACTCCGTGCTACTACTGAGAATTAAAAAAAAACCCAGTAATACTTTGCCCAACCCGGGAATCGAACCCGAGATCTCTTGCCCGGCAGTCGCTTTTGCGACCATTCTGTCAATGAGGCAGTCGTAGGAAATATTAAAGGCAATTCAGTTACCTTTAAAATGAGAGCATTTTGTTGTAAAACGATTTTTTTTAAGTTAAAATAATAGTAATTATAACTAATTATTATGTGATATAATTATGTTATAATTTATTAGGTTAAGAAGATTAGATAAAATGGAAACACGTTCTAAAAATGGTTCCGCATCTTTGCTCCCAAGTTTATAAAAATGTTTAGTCACGCCCACACCGAACAAGTGATATTTTGTAAATAACAGCATTTTTGTTAACTCTGGGTGTTTTGTATAAATAATTAAGCACATAGTGGAAGTATCATGAATGAATAAGTTATCAAGCTGACATTTGGACATGGAAATTTTCGACTACAATATTACCATAAATATGGGGAAAAATCCGGTAAATGTATTGAAATATTAAATAGAGTTACATATCAAATTTGCACTTAAAAAGTCGTGGACTTTTATTTCGTACATATTAGTTATATTGTATCAAATCGTGGCCATAATTGCCTGGTGCTAAATATTGAATAATACCTCATCTTTTCTTCCTTATTTGTTTTTTATAAAAAACTTTGCCCCACACTAGGATTTTCTCCTGTGTCGTGGGTGCGTTTATAAACATACAAGTTCACATACACATGACAGACCCGAAAGAAGAATTTGTGGATAACACAAAGATTGGTTCCATGTTGGAATCGAACCCGCTGCATGTTGCGCGACAGCCGGTTGCCCAGCCAATCATGCAGTCGAGTAATCTAACGAGAGAACTATGGGATTTACGATGGTGATGGCGTCTTGATGGTGATGAATATGCCCAGCAGCAGGCCAAATTCAAAGCATGTATTACATTTAACATATATAATTTCACGCCTTTTATCCCCGAAGGGGTAGGCAGAGGTGCACATTAAGCCACTGTACAATGTAACACCCACTTTTCACTATTTATGTTATGAGTCCCATGTAATAGGGGGTGAGCCTATACCGTCCGTGCTACTACTGAATTAAAAAAAAAACTTAGTTGTACTTTGCCCGTCTCGGCAATCGAACCCAATACCCCTTGCCCGGTAGTCGCACTTGCGACCACTCGTATTTCATTTAAATTAAACTAAATAGCGTCAAACTGGGTTTTTCTGTCATTGAAGCTTGCAAAATATATATTCTTATTAGCGGACCCGACAGACGTTGTCCTGAATATCCACTTGAATGTATAAACAAAAATTCATTTAAATTAGTTCAGCCGATTAGGATAATTAACCTAGACACCGACTGCAGCGCCATCTGCCGGGCTGATTTGTAAATCTAAACCATCCAGGGCGCCACTCAAACGCGTACATAAAATTCATTTAAATCAGTCAAGCCGTTTAGGAGGAGTTCAATGACATACACACGTACAGCAGAATTATCAATACATCAATACATAGTATAAAACAAAGTCGCTTTCGCTGTATGTCCGTATGTATGCTTAGATCTTTAAAACTACGCAACGGATTTTGATGCGGTTTTTTTTAATAGATAAAGTGATTCTTAAGGAAGGTTTGTATGTATATACATGCATATTGCACCCGTGCGAAGCCGGGGCGGGTCGCTAGTATATGTATAAAAAGATGGAGAATTATGTTACTACAAAATAATTCACCGGTCTGTTAGCATGTGAATACACCATTACCGTCAGTAATTGAGATTATCAATGTATTATGTACGCATACTCCGCGATACATGAGCGCACAACACACACGCACACATACACACACACAATCTTGTAACAAACAACTTCGTTACTTGTAACTTGTAACACAACTTTTAATGAATGTTACACTCTGACTGGTGTTGTGTTACTGGGTTGTTTTGGTGATTTGGTGGGAGGTTGGCTGTTAACAATGAAAGGGGTTTGATTCTTGAGTCAGTCAAAGTAGTTGGGAGCGGAGTTTGTAATTTTTTGGAATACTGTTGAGTTTGAGAATTGCAGTTGTTTTTTTTTCTAACTGTGGAGCAACAAGATTGGGGTTCGATTATGGAGAATTTTCAGGTTTTCATTTTTTTTTTTCAGTTCTAGCACGAGATCTGATGGGGGTATAGCAAGCAACCACTTAACCATAACCAACGAGGCAGGATCGATCCTAGATTTTTTTAAAGACAGATTATGACACATAACATAACATCACGCTTTTTATCCCCGAAGGGGTAGGCAGAGGTGTACATAATGCCACTGTACAGTGTAACACCCACTTTTCACTATTTATGTTATGAGTCCCATGTAAAAGGGGGTGAGCCTATTGCCATATGCGGGGCACAATTCTCTGGAATTGTCGGAGTCTGCTCCGTGCTACTACTGAGAATTAAAAACCCAGTAATACTTTGCCCGAAACGGGAATCGAACCCGACACCCCTTGCTCGGCAGTCGCACTTGCGACCACTCGACCAACGAGGCAGTCAGATTATGAAATGATGCGTAATCGTATAATGATAACATCTACCTCTGCGCGTGAGTCAATGAGAATACTTTCTGCCATTTTGTTTAAGAATAGATATAGAGACCACCTGCCGACTGTCACTTCATTAGTAAAACATATGCAGTCATAATGCAATCTCTTCAAGACTTACATACATACTATTGTAATAATTATATGACGACACGGTTGGCGCAGTGGCTGGGCAACCGGTTGCCGCGCATCGCGTCGCGGGTTTGATTCCCGCACGGAGCAACTCCTTGTGTGACCCACAAATTGTTGTTCCGGGTCTGGGTGTCATGTGTATGTGAACTTATGTGTTTGTAAACGCACCCACGAGTCGACAAAGGGACTTCAAGTGTGAGAGAGCTATGCTTCGGCACGAATGTGCCGGCTCGACCGGAGTGATACCACGGCCTCACAGAAAACCGACGTGAAACAACGCTTGCGTTGTTTTACAGCGTGTTGTGGTTCGTCGTGTGAGTGAGGTTACTGGAGGCACAATTACCCTCTTCCCCCCCTTGAGAAACCTGAATCTTTCAAGCTGTGAGCTGAAATATGCCTGTTAAGCGGATTATGGAAAACCTTTCTTTTATGAAGAAGAGGATACTTCAGCAGTAGACATTTTCTGTAAGAGCCAACTACGTGACTACACATTTGACAGAGACTAGGCAGCAGCGACCTCTGAGAAACCTGAACCTTTTAGACTGCGGTCGCTAACTATGCAAAGTATGCGTGTGCGAATTTTATCAAAACTGCCTTACATATTCAGGATTTAAGAGATGTGTAGTTTCGTTTTAAATTGTAAGAATATTTCTCCTGCTAAAATAACTGTTTTCGCATGGAAACTACAAATAAGAAGATACATGTAGTGGTGTTCCACGGCTTAAACGAATGTTCCCGGAAGAGCTTAAAATGAATTTAATAAATCTATAAAAACCATATATTCCGTGAATCTCATACTGAGAGGTTGAGT